TTCATCCTTCCAACGACTTCTCCTGTATTATTTGTGGAGACATTTGTGAAAGACACATTCGTTCCAGCTTCTACCTAGTTGTGCTCCTTATTTCCATCAGAGGCCTCTGGTGCAATGGTGTTTATTGTTTGAATATAGACTGAAGCATGCTATTTTTCACTTTCTTTCATTATTTTTCTTTTATTCAAGTCTTCTTGTACAAAATGACTAACATGGAAAGGTTTTACATAATTGCACGTGTATAATATATCTGATTGCTTACCGTCTCAGATGAGAGCAGGAGAAATAGAATTTGGAACTCACAACTTTAAATAAAAATGTTTAAAAAAAAAATAAAATTTGGAGGGGGGAGGGGACACTAATCCATACACAAGGCTTCTTGCAGACTGTACATTGACTCAGTTTTATAATGTAATGTTATTCTTATTTTACTCTATTTTTATTTATTTTGTTAAATATTTTCCAATTACATTTTAATATGGTTCCAAGAACACCTGGGCCATGGGCTGCATATCTGACATCTCTAGTCTAGGGTGTAGCATAGAAAGGAGGATCTCAGACTCAGAATTGACAGAGACCTTGGAGGTCTAAGAATATATCTGAACAAATGTCTATATGCTTTAAAACATTCCTGATGACTGAAACAGCCAATTTCTATGCTGAATCACTTCAATTGTTAGGGTTCTATGCATAACACTTTAATTCATTAAGGAGACTTTTTTTTTCTATTCTCTCAACCTGGAGCACCGTTAAGATATAAATACAAAGAATATGTGTGTGTGTTCATGTACGTATACGTGCAATATTATATAATGTATAAAAACATAATATACATATATACAACACATGACCTCAAAATTATATCAAATTTGTGATATAAACTAAAATTAGCCTGCCAGTTGCTGTAGGCTATGGCTGGAAAGTTTTTACTTCTTGATTCTCTTCTCTTGATTCCATATAGGGTTGAGACCCACAGTTCAAGAAGTATTGAAACGGTTGCAAGTGGAAAAAGTTTAAGAAGCCCTGCTTTAGCCACTTCTGAAGGCAGGAAGCTATAGACAGACTCATCCCCACGGCATCTCTCCACCTCATCACGCCTGACTTAGCTGACAGATCTATGTGATTTTAAGAAGTAGATACAAACCACTAAACAGCTATGTAAAGTGGAACTTTCACAGAATTTCAGAGCCAGGAAAGGGACCCCAGAGGTTGTCCAGTTAAATTCCTATTTCAATAGGAATCTTCTTTATATTGACTTTTTGAATTTTTACCACATAGATTTAAATACAGCAGTTGAAATAACCTATCAACTTAAGTGACTTAATCCTGCAGCCCTGAAGCATTAAGTACTTGTAAAAGATGCCATAACCATAATAGGGCTGTATGCCAAGATGTGAATATAGGCTTCCTTTTTTTTTTCTTTTTTTGGCTAGGCAATGGGGTTAGGTGACTTGCCCAGAGTCACACAGCTAGTAAGTGTCAAGTGCCTGAGGCCAGATTTGAACTCAGGTCCCCCTGACTCCAGGACCTGTGCTGTATCCACTGCACCATCCAGCTTCCCCCAAGGCTTCCTTTTTTTAAGAGAAAACTCTCCAATTCAACATGTTGTTGAGGATAAAGTGAAACTTTACTATTAAATTCAGAAAACCTTTAAGTCTTAAGAAATTCATAGTGAGGTATAGTGTGCATGCATGCATGTGTGTGTATGTGTATGTATGTAGGTGTGGGCATGTGGCAAAAAGAAAAAAAAAGCTACATGCTAGAGTGGCTCTCTCTGATTTGCCTGAGGAACACAGAGTAGTATTTTGGAACTATGTTTACATTTTCTCCCAAATGAGGCATTTTTCACATTGCACCACTTGGAATAACTGCTTGTTGGTAGCCTATCTGAACAGATATTTTAAAGGAATTCCTTGAGGATCCCAATAAATCTGACTTACTAATTGTTCTATCAATAATGTAATTCACTCAAAGCCTGGTCTATTGTCCAAAGGCAATGATTATCCAAACAAAGGGTTAAAATAGAATCACATAAATTATCCCTCTTTTCTTTTGTAGTTTCCTCACTGTCTGAAATAAATAACAAATTACTTGCTGGGATAAATAGAGTGCAACAATCCAATTTTTCTTGAAAAGATGCAGAGTGTGTAGTCTCATTCATGTCCTTTCATACCAAAGACACATTCTCCCACTTAGGGATCTGTTTGCTGAATTTATTGGATTCTAAATAGCTGGAGGCAACTAAAAGCCTTGGCCACCATAGCATGTATCCTCTATTGCACTCTTTCTGGCTGATCAAGTCTCAGCTCCTTAATTAGATTAATAGATAATATTAATAATAACTAATTAATAGATTAATAAGAGTACCTGTACTCTATGCACTGAAAAGCAACTCAAGCCCTTGGTCATCATCCTAGTTAACTAAATGAGGATGAAATTCTAAGTAAGCAATCTGGTCCAGGAGCTGATCACAGCTCACAGAACTTATATTCTGGCTGGAGACTTAAATCACCCACAGTCTTGACTCTACAGCATCTAAAATGAAGATAGTGCAGTGGTCAACCTTTGTCAAAAGTGCCTAGTGCTGGGGACATGTGTGGGAGGCTTTGTGCTGATTCAAATACCTTTTATTGTGAACCTGTGTTTCTACCTTGGTCTTATGGCTGAACCTGGAACATCTGGAAAATGGGGCAACTTCAGATAGGACCATGCACACAATTTATGAAGATAGAAGCAACTTTTTAAAGGCTCATTCCCAAGATAAGATGCTCTGTTACAGTGAGTTGTTTTCTAAATAAAGGGCCAGAGGGCAGAAGGTTTGCTTGTTTAGAGGTATCTGCCATTAGGATAGTGTAATACTTATGTTCATGGGCCAGTCTTTTACTACCCATAGTACTGTAATTTCAGGTATCTTGGATTTGGGGTAGTAGGACTGTGGAAATAAGCTTGTGCTTTCATGACATTCATACTTTCTCTAAATCTTTTTATTAGGGAATTTGTTCTGTGAAGTTTGAATTCAGTCAAAGGGTTGCACTTGAGGACCCTGAGGCCACATGTGGCCTCAAGGCTGCCGGTTCCCCACCAGGCAGTCTAAACCTTTCCCTCTAGGTCCCTTACCCCTGATTAATACCAGGGCTTCAAATTCTGTTGGAACTACATAGAGGAGGGGAGGAGGGGAAGAGAATAGAGAGTGAAAGGAGAAGAAAGGGGAAGAGAGAAGGAAAGAGAGAGAGAGAGAGAGAGAGAGAGAGAGAGAGGAAGGGGACATACGGTTAGGGGGCAATGAGGAGAAAGGAACAAGGGAAGATTAACATGAATTCCATTCTGATTCATCTCAAGAGTAAAATAATGAAGAAAAGGGACTAATATTAAAGCAGCAGCAGCTCACACATCTTTTTTATGCATCTGAATATTGTGAAAGGGTCAAATAGCAGAAACATACAGAAAGGATAAGAGAATTGGACACTTTAGAGAATTTGGTGAGAAGACAAACAATACAGTACATTCAATAGGAGTGAATGTTGGAAACAGGACTCAACAGCATTGTTGAACTACATTGAATAGAAAGACTAAAAACTGCATTTCTTATCCTTTCTTTTGGTATGTGAAATAAGGAGCTTTCCAGCAGTGCTTGAAACAAGGCATTGAACAACAGTAAACAGATCGGATTAAAATACAGTATTTCATTCGGCAAACACATCTGCTGCTTCAGAATACAGAACACTGTTAAGTTGATGTGACAACAGCACACTGACAGATTGTGATGGGGTTGGATTGCTGTTAGGAAACATTCATTCTGACACTTTGCTCATTAAAGCAAACTGTGTCGAACTGCTAAGGGGGATGCATAGCAGACCAATGCAACCTGCAGATGTGGAGCCTTCATAAGACTGTAAAACCCTGCCAAGAAGAGACAAGGTGCCCTCTGACGAAACCTGCTAATCCAACAGCCACCACTGTTACAACAGGGCAGCCTAGGAAACCCCACACGTCACACCCCTTTCCAAGGGACAGCTGGTTGGGAACGTTACACTGGCAAGCAGCATTGAAGGTCCTCGTCTAACCATCCTTCTGTTTTCATCTTATCGACTACAGCAAAAACTTGAACTATAACTGCAAGCTAAGACATTGTAAGGACTTTATTACTTTGGGGATAGATAACAGGATATCTTTGTCCAAACTTGGTAATGTCAAGTGTTTGATTTCATAGAGTCACATTATCTACAGCTGGAAATGCTGTTAGAATGGTCCAACTCCCCCATTTTACAGATGAGGAAACTGAGGCCAAGAGAAGTTAAGTGATTCATTCAAGATAACTGGCAGAGCCAATTGCAAATCCAGGGCTCTTTCACCATACCATGCTCTAGAGTAATGATGTCAACCTCAGATTGAAATGGGAGCCACTGGACTATATATTAGGATTCATTTTATATACATCTATATGTGCGTGTGTTTGTGTATATGTATATATGTGTGTATATATATGTATGTATGTATGTATGTACGTATGTATACACATTGTATATAAGGACTCCTGTGGGTCTCTCATTAACTTAGAAACTACATATTAACACTATCTATATTCTATTGTATTTCTATTTATTTTATTAAATATTTCCCAATTTAATTTTAATCTGTTTTGGCCAACTCTCAGGCTGGGGAGGGGGGGAGAACAGTGTTTAGCACAGTGCCTGGAACATAGTAGGTGCTTAATAAATATTTACTGGTTGATTAATACCTCTTTTCTAAAGATAAGTATATTTTATTTGGAAAAAGTACCATATGATGACCAGTTGAAGTTAACAGAACTGGGATTTTCTGAGGCTATTAAGAAAACCTATACCAAAAAAAGTTCTTATTTTAAAAAAACCAAAAAAACCCAAAATACTATTACTTTTCTAAAAAGCAACAATAGGCTTATAAAAAGACGACCACTTATCTGCAGTTTACACGGATCCTGAATTAGGAGTAAAGGATCAGAGAGCAATTCTGAGACTCACCTCCTCATGCAATCCAGAGCCTGGGTGAAGACCTGCGGAGCCATTCCATGTTCATGCTGCAGGATCAGACATTGCTCCAGGGTCACTGACATAGCTGTTCTATCCTTGGCACTCTTGCAACTGGTAAATCGAACTCCATTGAGTCTTCGGCACACCTACCAAAGAGAAGATGGGTCTTTAAAAAAATGCACGAAAAACACTTGTTACAACATGAAAAATATTCTGCTTCCAAAGGTTATAAAATCAACCCAGTTAAAAACAAACTAGAGAAAAAATTTTAAAAAGTTTCAAGACTAATAATATCACAGCTTAATCAATAGAAGAGATGGCTCCCCCATTTTACAGATGAGGAATTGAGGCTCTGAGAAGCCAGGGTATGAACCCAGATCTCTTGACTCCAAATCCAGGGTTCTTTTCTCTGTATCACCCCTTTTTTCCTCCCTATTCTACTTTACAAGTTAACTTTTTTTTTCACTCACCACGATATACAAATAAGTAATAATTAAAAACTTTAAGGATGGGCTATTTTGTCAGAATAGGTACTCCGTCCACTGATACAGGACAAAATGCCTTCCTTCAGCTATGGCTGAAAATAATCACCACAAGTCTTCTGTTCTTCTGCTTTATATTTAGCTAGGTTGGTCCTCATAGGACAAATACACAGCACTGTGACCAGCCCTATGCAAAACTTGTCTACCTTATTATGATCTGCCAGAAGTGCATTCCACTGACCTAGTCTTTTAGAACCTAGAATTAATTACATAATAAGGCAACAGAATAGGGCTTTCTTTCGTTGAGGAATATTAGAACCACAACAACTACTACAACATTTAAGTAGCGTACTCCCTGGTTTATAAAATATTTCTTCAATGTAACACTGTAAGGTGTAGGCATTATTGTCAATCGATCAATCAATCAATAAACCATTTATTAATATCTACTATGTGCCAGCCACTATTCTAAGTGCCAGGGAAACAAAAAGTGACAGAAGAAAATCCTTGCCCTCAAGAAGCTTACAATCTAACCTAACATGATAATATAACCAAATGTAATCTAATCCCTATTATATATATGAAGAAAATGAGGCCAAGAGAAGTTAAAGCTAATTAGCTAGCTTAAGGTCTCACAACCAAAAGGGGGACAGAACTGAGGTTTGAACCAAGTTCTTACTCCAAATGAAGTACCTTTAGTTCAAAACTACAGTATAGGATGAAGGAGGCATGGCTAGACAATAATTTCTATGAAAAATACCTGAGATGCCCTACTGGACTGCAAGTTCCACATTAGTTAGTAAAGTTATGTGTAAGCCAAGAACAGCTAACGTGCTCTTCAGCTGAATCAATAGAGGTATGGTTTTAGAATTGGGGGGGGGGGGGTGTTAAACGTTTTATTATTTTCTTCCCAAGTGAGGCTACAGCTGGAATATCGTGTTTAGTTTGGGATGACACATTTCAATAAAAAACATTAATGAGCTGAAAAATGCCCAGGAGAAGGCAACTAAGGCACATCAAGTTAAGCTGAAGGAACCAGGGATGTTCAGCCTGAGGAAAAGAAGGCTGGGGTGGGGACCTGAAAGGGTGATGACTGTTTAAGCATGTAAAGGACTGTCAAGTGCAAGAGGGATGAGACTTTTCCTGAATAGCTCCAGAGGACAGAACTGGCAAGAGGGGAGTAAGCTGTGCAGAGACAGATTTAAGCTTGCAATAATACCAATTTCCTAGAGCTACCAAAGTAGAAAGGACTACCTTGGGACAGGATTCCCCTTCTCTAGAGGCTTCAAGTTAAGGTTAAGTGATCACTTGGAGGCTCTATTATAGAAGGGATTCCTGTTTAGGAATTTATGTATGTATGTACGTATGTATACACATTGTATATAAGGACTCCTGTGGGTCTCTCATTAACTTAGAAACTACATATTAACACTATCTATATTCTATTGTATTTCTATTTATTTTATTAAATATTTCCCAATTTAATTTTAATCTGTTTTGGCCAACTCTCAGGCTGGGGAGGGGGGGAGAACAGTGTTTAGCACAGTGCCTGGTGATCACTTCTGAGAGTCTGTGAGGACACTGAAATTAAGACAGTGAGCTAGCTATTGACAATTAAGATTAAGACAATTAAGAAATTAAGACAATAAGCTAGTATTATTAAAGTGGCAAGGACACAGGATGCTCTAAATTAAGGGACCAATTAGCTGCAGAAAAATCACAGAGGCAAGAAGAAAGTCAAGGGTAAAATTGGGGAACTTTTGGCCAGAATATGTAAACTATCAATATAAAAGACCAATGTCTTTAGAGGACCGAGAAGCTGCCACTCCGGGCCTATCCACATTGGGCTTTACTTCTATACCCAAACAAGCTAACAGAATCTATAATAAATGAAATGCTTACTCAACACTTAAAAGCAAGCAAAACTGACACAAACTATTTGTTAAAATGTAAAGTCTTAAGGGGCACTACTACTTGGTTTCTGCTTAGACTAGAAGTTAACAGCTCTGGGTTCTAATTTTAGCATTGGCAAAAACCAGCTGTGAGTCACTAAGCAATAATCCCTTCATTTCTAAGGCTCTCAGTTTCTCCACCTATAAAATGGAGATAATTACTCTTGTACTATCTACCTCATATAGTAATATTACAAGTTATTACTAAGGAAAAATGCAGAGACAACATGGTGTAGTGGATAAAAAACTGATCTTGAAGCCAGAAAGACTTGGGTTCAAGTCTTGAGCATCTAACATATGCTAACTGTGTGACCCTGGGTAAGTCCCTTAACTTCTCAGTGCTCTAGTCTAAGGCAACTCTCTGAGAAGTTGTGGAGAAAGTGCTAGCCTGCGTTAGAAGAGGGAGTTTCCTCACCTGAGAGCTCCTTTCACCAATGAAATCACTGGTTCAGACCCTATTAAGGACTCCAAACATACATTTCTAACTTTCCAGGCCAAGTACACCTTCTCAAAAAACAACCTTTGTTATCTCTATTTGAGGAAGTACGCTGGGTTGGATGGACAGACCCATTTCTTATGAAAATGAAGTTCAGATGATAAAAGCACAATTTAGTGTAGTTACTAGGGGAAAACAAAGTGGATAAATATGAAGTTGGGAATGCACATATATCAGTAAATGGAATTAACATAGGAGAAACTTGGAGAAGTTTCAGGAGGACACAAAGACAATTAAATTAAAACATTAGCTCTAACTAGATTAGGTCTAAAGTGAGATTTTTAAAATTACATCTACCAAAAATAGTTTTCAAAGCATATAGTTTTCATAGTAGTTTTCAAAGGGAAGAGAAATAGAACAAGTATTTATAAAGAGCCTACTATGTGACAGGCACTGCGCTAATAAGTGCTTTATAAAAGTAATCTCGTTTGACGTAAAGGACATTGTATACATCAATCTGAAAATTACATCACAATTCTGAAAAATGAACAGAAAGGTATACAAATACTACCACACAAGGGATTGAGATGAGAGGTAAAGACTTTCTCAAAGGTGAAAGTTGGTCAAACATTAGAGTGAGTCACTGAAACGGACTATGGAACTCCTTCCTCTAAAGGTACTTAAAAAGGAGGAGAGTCTCATCTTTCTGGGACACTGTATAAAATTCATTAGTGATCACTAAAGAATGGGTGGCTGTTGGTTTCTAAGTCCCCCAGGAGAGATTCCTCATCTTTTTTTGTGTGTCATGGACCCTTTTGGTTATCAGGTGATACCTATAGCTTCCTTCTCAGAATACTTTTTAATAAATAAAATAAAACACATAGGATTACAAAGAAAACTAATGATATTGAAATTGTTATCAAAATATATTTTAAAAGAATGAGTTCCTAGGCCTTGGGTTAAGACTTTCTGCTCAGAGGGACTACATGGGGGTGGAGAGTTAGGGGGAATGAGGGTGAAGTCCTTCCCAGGACTCTACAATGTCAACCATCAAGTTCCCAAGTACCAGTCTTTTTCAGATACTTTTAAAGATAATCTTTTTAAGGTACCCTCCCCAGACAGAAAGGAGTCCATAGATCCCAAGGGACAACTCATGGAAGAAGTTTTCTCTGACCATATTCTTTCATGTAGTTTCAGAGTTGTGGACATAGGCTTCATCTTTTTTTTTTTTTTTGGATTTCGCTCTGACTTTTATCTTCCTCAGCCCTAATACTTCTTGTCTCAACTTGACCTGACTATCTTCATGTTTCTCCCTCTTGAATCCAATGCCTTGGCTTTCCCTCCCTCCCGTGCCCCTTACCCTCAGGCATACATCCCCATTTTCACTCAACTCACAAAGAGATAACTGTGGAGGCAGCGTAGTGCACCCAAGTTAAAAAAACACCTACTCACCTGTGTGACTTTGGACAACTCACTTAACCTCTAGGAGGGATCATTTTCTTCTTAGAAAAATGAGGCTGACCTCTAAAGTCAATGATGCTCCGCTGACCTTAAGGTCTTCAGTTTCCCCTCATTCACACCTGCCTAACCTCCCACTATCAGCAATGAGGAGCAGGCACAGTTTGGCATCCAACTGAGGTATCTGCTGCCCTCTGCTGGCTTCTGTTCTGCTCACAATGAGCGGCCAAAGAACTCCCCTCCATGGTCAATGTTTCTGCTTCTGCAGGAATGCACAAGTTCCAAGATGTCAATGCTCTGCATCGACAACGCTGTCGTGCTACTGGTGATTCTGACTATGAAAGAACTTTCCCTTCTCTAAGTAATGGAATGACTATCCATAATAAGGGGGGGGGAAGAAAATATTTGGAATGAAAGCAATTCTAAAAGGAAATCAGAATTGAGGTGTGTAATGAGGATATTTTGGGTGCCTATTTATGAGAACTAGAAAGATTGTTCATTGAACCTGTTAAAAATCTCACTAGGGCGATTTGTTTCCATAGATACTGAGAGCGCTCTCTGTCGAAGGTGACAACTGTCACCTTGGATCTGTTATTCCTTTTCAAAGAATCTCAAAACTGGAAGGGATCTAGTCCAACCAGTAACTAAAGAAGAACCCTCTCTCCAGCTTCCTTAAACAAGTGATTTTCACCCTCCACCTAAACACCTTCACTGATGGGGGATCCATTATTTTTCAAAGCAGCCCATATCAATTTTGGATGGTTCAACTGTAAGGAATTTTTTCCTTTATATCAAGACTAAATCTGCCCCTCTGGCACTTTTTACCCACAGCTCCCAGTTCTACCCTCTTGGAACAATGATTGTTGTTGGTATTGAGTGGTTTTGTGTCCAACTTTTTGTGACCCCATGTGGAGTTTTTTGACAAAGATATTGGAGTGGTTTGACATTTCCTTCTCCAGTTCATTTTACAGATGAGGAAATTGAGGCAAACAGGGGTGAAGTGATTTGCCCAGGGTCACACAGCTAGTAAGTATCTGAGGCCAGATTTGAACTTAGGAAGATGAATTTTCCTGACTAGGCCCGGCATTGTATCCACTGCCCTAATAATAATGTTAGCTAGTTGCATAAGTTATCTTACTTTGCGCTCAGAACAACATTGTGAAGTACTTGTTATTAACCCCATTTTACAGATGAAGAAACTGAGGCAGAGAGTGGTTAACTGATTTGCGCAGGGTCACATAGCTAGTAAGCATCTGAGGCAGGAGTCAAACTTAAGTCTTCTTGAGTCCAAATCCAATGCTCTAGCTACTGAACCCATTTAGCTGACTCCAAACGATGATACCAGTTCATATTTTACCTAGTCCTTTTTTAACATTTTCTGAAGGTTTTCTTCCTATAAATTCTGTGAGGTAGGTTATGGAAATAAAACTATGCTCATGTGAAAAGATGAGGAAACTGAGGTTCAAAAGGGTAAAATGATTTGTTCCACAAACACACAGCTAGTATCACCAGGTCTTCTGACTCCCAGGTCAAGTTCTTTTCACTACATGGAACTTGCTAAAAACAAATCCCTTCTCCATATCAAAGCCTTTCAAATCTGTGAATTCAGATTTTTCCCCCTCCTCCTTCCCACCCTCAAGTCTTCTCTCTTCCAGGACAAATGCCCCAAATTCCTTAAGTCAGTTTGTGTACACCATGGTTTCTAATCCCCTCGCCCTGTTCAAGTTCTCAACGTCTAATTTAAACAGAACAGATCATACTCCAGTTGAGGTCTGAGCAGGGCAGAGCCCAGAAGGACTATTATCTCTGTTCTCCTGGACAGCATTAAGTTTAAGAGGGTGTTAGCTTTTCTGAAGGTCATGCCTTACAGTTGTGACTTATGAGCTTGTAGTCCCACTAACCACCTACCCTCCTCCCGTTTTCTTCTGTCCCCCTCTCCACACTTAACTTTTATCTGTGTCTCAGTCACGGATCCTGTACGATTGATTTTTTTTTTAATGTAAGTGTTAAGACTTTACATTTACTCTTTTTTTATATCTCATTAGATTTGGCCCATTTTTCCAGAATCTGGAGATCACTACAGATTCTGTTTGCATCATTCAGTGGATTAGCTTTATCTCTGCTCTTTAAGGCTTGACAGGCCTCTGACAGCCCTGGTTTCATCTACTGAGAGAGTAATTCAGAATATTTTTCCAGCACTTTGGGAAACACTGTTGGGCATTCTGCCTTAAAGAGGCAGGCAGATAAAGCAATGACTCCTCTAACCCAACCAATCAATACCTCGGCTGCTTGCCAGAGAATGTCAACATTTTTATTCTTCCTGGCGTGTACATTCTGTCCCAGAAAGCGCAACAGCTCAGGCAGGCACGTTTGACTACGAGATCGAGGTAGACCTGAAAAAGAAAGAACAAACCCTGCACAGTTAATGGCTCCATCCACTCATTCTTATGTCCCTCTCTCCTCAAATATACTGTCTGAACACAAACAGTACTTTCCCTGAAGATCTGACCTCAACAAAAGTCTCAGTGCCCCATATCATGGTGCTCTTTGAGAAAGGAAATAATGAAGGTAAAGAATGCAGTTAGGAAAAAAGAACAAAATATCTTTGTTTAACTGGAAAATATATAAAAAACAACATTTCTCACAGTTAAGTTCTTTTTTTAATGCTGTAGTTACACTGTTTTCATTTTGAAGAGATCTCATTTTAGGGATGTGGCCTGGCTTCAGGGATGGCCTATAAGAACAATACAGTAATAATACTCAGAAAGAGATAGGAAGGAGCTGTATTTGACTGCTGCAAACACAAATTTTAATCAGAAAGTGGGGGTAAAAGATAAGCTTAAGGATGGAGGCTCCAGCTGCAAACCAAGGATGAACTCAGGAATGTTATGTGATCTTCTAGTGTTTTTCTATTGCTATTGCAATTTTCATGGTCATCAGGCAGTCACATCATCTTCTTCTAGCCAACAGTATACCTAAAGGAATTACTTTAGATTTTCTGGATGATTTAAGTGTAGAATGAAAAACCTATTTCCTATTCTGATATGATGTCTTCCGTTTCCACAATTAGCCTGCAGTCTCTCTGTGCTCTAACACTTCCAAGAGCTCATCCCTCCTGGCATCACTGAGGTTTTATAGATCAGTCAGATCATTCCATCTTAGGAGATCAGGAAAACCTTGCTGAACTTCAAGGAAAGGCTGTACTATGACTAACTTTCTCCCCTAATAGTCAAGCACAAATAGACTCATGTCAACGAAAGATCTGGAAGAAAAAAATCAGATTAACTTCAACTATCCCTTCTCTTATCCCAACTATCCTAATGCAGTTATATCCCTTATTGTACCATCTTGTGACCATCTCTAATTGTTTCATAAAGACTGTGAGCTTCATGAAGACAAGGACTATGTCTTACTCTTCTTCAGTATTCCCCATAACCCTTAATACAGTGTTGACATATAGGAAATGCTCAAAAAGTTATTAATTGATCAGATTCATAAATAATTTAGTCCAGGGGACCCAACCCTTTCAACCTTACAGATCATTGACTCTCATGTAATACTTTCCCTGACTGGTGAGACCTCAGAGATCCATTAAATCCAAAAAGGAATATAAACTCTGTTTATTGGTCCCCCCCTTCAGCTTCCATTAAGCCTTCTTACCAGAGCTTTGGAGAGAAATAGAATTTGAAAGACAGAGCCAAATACCGCTACTTAACCCTCTTGCTTGAAACAATGAGAACTACCAGATAAAAGCATGGTGTTTGTCATTTGTTTAGCATTTACCAAACCCTTGAAACCTTATGCAAGAGCAAGGACATTTCCACTGATCATGGAAAATATCTGTGTAGCAATAGTTTCAATTTCATGATTGAATTCATCTCTACTTCTGGACCCACAACAGTATAGAGAGATGGGCATATGCCTCATTCCTAAAGAATTCCTCAATGAGTAATCTTTAAGCATCTTTAAGTGCAAAGCACTTTGCTAAGCTCTATGTAGGATATGAAAGGACAATACATGGTTCCAGCTCACAAACAGAATCTATTCTACTCAGAAAAAAACAAGACATACATAGGAAATGAATTAAACAAGACAGCAGACCAAAAAAATGCTAAATTTAGTGGAACAGATAAATGAGAAAGGTAATAAATAGACCAATGGTGGCTGAGATGGTCAGGGTAGACTTCTTGAGAGTAATAGTAATACTTGAGCGGGGTAGTATTTTAATAGAAGGAATAAAAGGAAGAGAACATTTTAGTAATGGGAAATAAGGACAGATAGGTAGGGTAGGTCCAGATTATGAAAGGCTTTGTAAACTAGAGCAGAAAAGTGAGGATGCATCAGGGCAGGCAATAAGAAGCCCTTTTAGATTATTAAACTAGATTAAAATTTTAGTTTATTTTAGAAAAATGTATCTGGTAGTGTTGTGATAGCTGTGAGAATAAGAAAGAAGGAATAAATCTAAGTGATAATAGGCACTTAATATTTATTGAATTAAATTGTGTCATGACCTCAATGGAAAAAACAACTTGTACTTTCTGGGGCTGAAATTCACAAAAACCATCTAGTTGCTTCACAAAAGCATTTAATTGACATACAGAAAAGTATTTTTTATTAAGAGTATTTTTCCATTTTGCCATAATTTCAAACAAAGACCTTATACATTTAAAGGGCTTGGGGGCAAGGGGTACCAGGTAATATCTAGAATAATTAAGAATATACTCACAATCATCAGGTAAAACTTCCTTGAACTGCTCAAAGTAAGAATTTAATCTCACCAAACTTTCCACATTAATAATTTCTTGCAAAGATGTGTCTCCAAACCTTTGGAGGTTAGAAAGGAAATATAATTTAGTCTGGTAGTACAGCTTTTTTCTTTACTTTATTTTTCCCCATTAATACAATTTAGTTTCATATGAATCCTAACATTTTTTGGCCTTCTTCCTCAGAACACAAGGGTATCTTTTTTTTTCCCCATATCAATGATTTTTTTTTTTAAAGTCCTGTGATTTCATAGGGATATGGTGGTCCTGGGGAGGAACTTCACTGACCAATGAAGATTGATAGCTTCTCTGCAACTTACAGTCTTTAAAGAGTTGCCTTTGACAATAAGAGGTTATGTGTCCTGCCCAGGGTCACAGAAGAGGTATGTGTCTGAGGCAGGACTTGAACCCAGGTCTTCCTAATTTCAAGGCCAACTCCCCATCCACTTTCCACACTTCCTCCATTAGTGCCACCTGACATATTTCTATCATAAGTGTATAATTTTTGATTCTGCATAATATCCATTATATTATAAATACCCAAGATATGGTCTGTCCAAGTTTGGAGATTAAAGGATCCTACTGTTAACCACACTAGGACATTCCCTTATTAGTAGGCATGCTGATTAAACTGTTTTACTCCCTCCATTTTCTGTAAAATTATCATCATACTTGTCCCTACCTAAGAGGGCTCTCAGGGAAGTAAATGGGAGTTGTTGTTAAGTCATTTCAATTCTGACTCTTTATGACCCCATTTAGTGTTTTCTTGGAAAAGATACTAGAATGGTTTTGCCATTTCCTTCTCCAGCCCATTTTAGAGATGAGTAAACTGAGGCAAGCAGGGTTAAGGGACTTGCCCAGGGTCACCCAGCTGGTAAGTATCTGAGGCTGGATTTGAACTGATTCCTGAGCACAAGTACTTTAAATCCAAAAGCTATTATCTTCCTTTCAATTTAACAAGCATATTCTTTTATAATGTCTATCAACTACTTTGAAGGACATTGTTGCTAAGTTCCTTGAGGGCAGGGACCATGTTATTCATCTTAGAAATCATAAAGAGCTTAGCACAGTATTACTGTAAACATAGTTGGCCCAAATCAATAGTTTCTGACTGAAAGGAAATAAAGCTAAGACATTATAATAAATACTATCAAAGCAACTCAAGGAGAATTTTAATTCCCCCTCTACCCCCGTTTCCAAAAAGGTTGTTTAGATTTTAGAAAAGTAACATATATGAATAGTGGCTTTGAGGGGGAGGGTATGAGAAAGAGAATGGAAAGAGAACCACCCCTGCCTTCTTTTTTAATGGACCCATAATCATCCTGCCATTTTCAGGCAGATGAGAGGGAGGTGACAAAGACAGATCTTCTGATTTCGTTCTGTGGCTTCTGCACTTGAACACGGCATGAATTCACACGTGTTGTGTGGTCATTGCTTCAAAAGCTCCACAAAGATATGGCTGGGTTTCTTCCATGTGTCTGACAAGGTACAAAAAGTACTAAGAGCTCAGACAAATGTCAAATATTGTTACTTAACATCTGCTCAAGGTCACATCACACCTCTCACTTATCATGAACTTATGATGCTTTATATTAGTTATTTCTATATACATCTTGTCTTCCTTACTCTTGATGGCAGAAACTGCCTTATTTATCTTTGTATCCCTCTCAACACCTAGCACAAAACTGTACCTACGTAGGTGTTTAATAAGCATTAAAAACCACATTTTCCTTGCAGTGGAATTAGCCTCTTTCACACTTAATCCAACCAAAAACCCACTGCTGTCAATGAAGAAGCAGGACTTGCTTAATTGGGTACGTACCTCTCTGCCAAGGTTTGCTGTTCATTAATCCCCACGTTGAAAAGGACAGGTTGAACTCTCAGAAGCATGCCGCTCTGAATCTCCCGAGGCAGCACGTCAAATAGAGTGCCTGGCAATGGAATCCTCACATTAAATCCATCACTTCAAAAACAAAAACAAAAACAAAATGGGGGATATTAAGATGCCTTCCAGGAGAGGAGAATGACCTTAAAGAAAAGGGGTAAGTGGACAATGGAGAAATTTACAATTAAATATAAGAAAACAGATATGCCTTTCAGCTCTTAGAAATTAAAATGTATACATATGTTTTACCGATTTCCTGTAATTACAGGGAGCATGTCTGTTGATGAATTTGAGGTGGCCTGTGTTACTTTAAAGGTTACATTCCTCAAGTCCATAATTCCCAGACTCATGTCTTCTAACATGGCCAATTCCTCACCTGTACCAAAGAAAGAGAACAATGGATTTTAAACACCAGGTATTTAGGATCCGGATTTCCCCTCAGAGAGAAAATCATTTACCTTTTTACTTATTTCTGTAGTTTCTAGTTTCACAACAAACACACTATAACTTACGTTAGCTCGGGGAAGAAAGCAAATCAGTAACTTTCTTGACCTTTGTTAATAGAGAAAGTGCATTTGTAAGCATTTATTAAAATCTATCTGTGCGTGCCACTTTCATGTCTGGATTTTCTTTTTCCATGGATAAATGCCAATGGTAAATCCTATCCTAGCTTTCAAAAGCGGTCAGTAGAAACACGGGCTATACTTTCAAAACTTATCTGTAGTCTATAAAAGAACTGAAGAAGAAGGTGGGAGCTATAGCACCTTAATTTCAGGAGCACAGAAAAAACAATATGCCTGTCCTCAGATAATGCCATATGTACAGTTGAACTTTGGTCCATTTTTCTTAGTAACCAACTCCTACCAAAGTGCTGCCTTTTCTTCTTTAAAAAAGAAATGCGCCAGAAATCAAACATTCAATTGCCCCCAGTTATCTAATGAGACTACTTTAGGGACACTGATATCTGGAATTCCAGAAGATAACTGCACTGATTTTATGGAGTGTATTTATGGAGTGCAATCTCTTGCAATTTGATGATGATGATGATGATGATGATAATAGTGACTGCTGGTATTTAAGGTTTGCAAAGTGCTTTAAAAGTAATATCTTAAAAACAACCCTGTGAAGTAGGAGACATTATTATCCCCTTTTTATAGATGAAGAAACTAAGGCAGACAGTAGCTGGTTACACAGCTAATAAGTGTCTGAGGCAGGATCTAAATTCAGGTCTTCCTAATCCTAGGTCTAATGGTCAATCCATTGCACTACCTAGTAGCCCAAAAGACTCCACCCTTTTGGTCCAGAGGGAGCTGTTCTCACCATAGGTGCTGAGGAGGCTTTCAAATTGGGCCAGTAAGCCAATAGTGTAGAGTTGCCGCAGGAAACCATCATCATGCAGGCAGTTCCTTAGCTTGAGAATAAACCCGCAAATGAGTGCAGTCAGCTGTCACAGAGATGGAGTGGAGAAAGGAGGAGGAAGGAACATAAAATGAAACAGGTAAAGAGAAACATTTCCTCACTAAAGCAACAGTACAAAAGGACACATCCCTCTGCTTTCAGGTCGTAAGTTCCTTTGTCTTTATTATTCAAAGCAGTTTACAGACATTAAATTATTAAGCCTCTGGACCTCCTAGGAAGACTGATAGGTGGTAAATGTCTTAATTTGGGGGTTGTTGGTCAAGGAGCACAGGGGTGCAGAAGGGGCATGGGATGATGAACACAATGAGTGGGATGGCCTGCTATTCTCCTTAAACCCTGGTTTTTCAACCCAAGAAGCCAGTTAAATTCAAGCCGTGACAGTTCTGACCCAGTCGAGGGATATTCCTTATCTGAAGGTCTTTAGGAAACCTGGAAGAATCCTGAAGTCATTCTGAGGATCCTGTTAAGTTTAAACAACCTTCTGAGAGCAGAACTATAAGCCCTGTTGATTCCCGTGAAATGACCTAGAATAGGGAATGAGTGCTGGGTTAGAAATGTATTCACTTTGTTCCATTCTTCTCAGTATGAGACTTCTCAAGGGGTCAGGCGGTGAGCTCTTGGGGACTGATGAAAAACAAAGAACTCCTCACCTAAAGACCCAGTGATCTTTCCACAATGTACCTAATTTATACTTCAAATTAATTTAAACTCTTCCTTTGGCTGTTTAGACAAAAAGATAAGGAAAATGATTAAAACAAGGAATTTACACAAGCCACTGGGCTAATGTAGCCTAATTAAGGGGGAAAATGGATTTCAAAAACAGTAAATCTCCACATCCCTCTGTTTGGATCATTCTGTATTTTTTGGTTTTTGTTTTTTTTTTCCTTGGGAGACTGGGTCTCCTCTATCTTGCCCATGCTGAAAATGCAATATCCACTCATGGACCTGATCCCACTGCTGAAGACTTCCCACTCTTGGGACCTACCATATTGAAGCCATATTTAGTGTGGATATTCAATTGACTTTTGCTGTACTCTAGTAGCTCAATTCTCCTAAGCTCAATCATCCATCAGCCTCAGCCTCTTCAACAGAAGGGATTACAAGTATGTTCCACTACATTTGATGGTCATTCTGTTCAAAGGCTTAGAAAAAAGCTCGTTTGACTTACACAACTGCTGCTAAATCCTTAGTTGAAAACCTGCTTTGACATCAGAACCTGCAATGTGCATATTCTATTGGCTAAGGCTAATACAACAAGAAGCCCACGTCAAATCTGAGGGCAAAAAAGGGTCACGTCCCTGGCTTTTTGTCTCAAGTCGCAACAAGCCTAGAAATCTCCATTTTGTTATGAAACAGATTTGATACAAATTGGGGTAATTCAGTTATTATTAAGTGGTGGGGTTGCCCTCCAAGACGGAAGAGAAGAAGGGAAGATTCGTGGGTAGTCAGTTGCTTTTACGAGATTAATCTCCAGAGGCCATTAGGCTAGCGAGCGGCTCATCTAACAGTCATTCTGTTACAACGTCCTTTGGCTTACAGTTTGGCAGAAGACAACATCCCTGCGGTACTGGAGCTTCAGGTACATAGCTATTGTTGGAGCGCTGTCCTGCATTAACAGGAAGACCATCGCTTTCTTGGCCTTGTCACTCATCATGGCTACGCAATCTGTGAGTGTCGTCAGCAAGGGGTAAAGGGCCTCACTCCATTCACCTAAGCATGTTGAGTAGTGGGAGTTGTGTGAAAGAAAAGAAGAGACAGCATGTTAAGAATCAGGCTCCGAAAGAGAGCAAAATTAATTCAGTTTACCCATTAACTAGCTCTGTCCCTTAATTCTCTTCTCCTCCAACCTCCATCCATCTTCTTCTCTTTCTAACCCAACCTTAGGCAAGCAGATAATAAACTGCAGAAATTAAACTAGAACCACCCAGGTTTCCTAAACTAGAACCACCAAGCAAAGTATAGTGACTTTCCTAGAATACTCAGGGAAATATACTGCATTCTTTCTTTTTTTGGGGGGGGGGGGGTGGGAAGGCAACTGGAGTTAAGTGACTTGCCCAGGGCCACACAGCTAGTAAGTTTGAGGCTGAATTTGAACTCAGCTCTTCCTGACTCTAGGGCTGTACTCTATACACTGTGCCACCTAGCTGACCTGATACGCTGCATTCTAATATAGGTGATATATTCGCAACCCTACGGAACTCCAGGTACCAAGATAAATCAATCCTAAACATGTTTTTAGAATAAAATAAATAAATAAAAAGACAGCCTCTCATTGTCTGCTATGCTATCAGTCACTACTCAATGTATAATAGTTAACCCATCAGTCACTGTACTGGTATTCATCTCTCAGTGCAGAATCAGGGGTCCCCTAGGAGCTCTTCTATAAATCAACGGTTCAAGTTGAGGCAGATGACCTCTGAAAAATAGGATAATTTTTGCCCTCTGCCTTTCTGCTCTTCCTCTTATTAACAAAAAGCGTTTTCTAAAGGCTCCTTCCAGTCTCACTTTTCTTATCTTAAAAGAAGTCTTTTTCACACATCCTTTTTTCAGTTCTCATATTTTTTTTTCCATCTTCTGTTTCCTAATTTCCACTGCCACCTCAATATTCAAACATATATTTTTGTCTTGGTTTTCTCATAGGAAGATAAAGACATTGTGCCAAAACAACTCTTCAAAAATAATACCACAGGGGAAAAGAAACAGGATTAGAAGGATGGCTTGGTTTTTTGTTTTTTCCCCTTTCTATTTTCAAGGTATTTCAAAAGTAGTTGTTTTTATCAGATATGTATACTTAAAAGTAGCCCCAGTCCAGAAATGCAAGTTTTATTATACATACTGGGTAAATAGACCATAACAAACAAAATGTTGTACAAGAAGAGCCTAATCATCGCAGATCAGAGAAACCAGTACCTTGAATAAAAGACTTCTTCTAAGTTGAAAGGAATGAGGCAACAAAAACCTGATGGATTAATTTCTCTCTGACTAGAGAAAGTAAATGTAAGCAGTGTGTTCACCAAAAAAGCAAGTAACCTTTTGCCTCATGTAATAAGACAGTCTAAGAAAGGGAAGTGAAGGAAATGACCACATTCTGCTTCTGCTGAGCTATTAAACATAATTCATAGTACTAAACTAAAAAAGAAATTTATCAAAATTCTCTTTTTTTCAGAGGTCCAGGGTACAGACAACTCTGGACAAAGACAAGAGTCAAACAGGATGGGCAGGCATAGATGAGTTGTGATCTGCACTAATGTAGGCAATATACACATCAATGAGATGACATTTCACTGGAGTATTGGAGGGGGTCATACAAAACCAAAAAACAAACAAAAAAAAAATCTCAAGTTTTGGTTGATATAAATTTTCAAATGGAAGAGAATGTTCAAATTTTGAAAATACTCTAATTCTATAAGCAGGCTTTAAAAAGTACATATGTCCATAAGCACATACCTATAAAGGAAAAGGTCAAGTCTAAATTTAGAGTCTAGAATAGAAAATCTGTACTAATTTAATTATGATGACAACAAAGCATTGAACTAGGAGTCAGAAAACTGGAGTTCTACTACTTACTTCGTTACTAACTGCATTCTGTGTCACTTACCAATCTGAGACTTTTCCTTGTCTGTAAAAAGTATATTGGGATGGGGAGAGCTGGGTGCTCTCAATGATCTCTCCCAATTTCAAATTCATATGATGGTATAACCCTATGATTTTTTTCAGAAGAGATTTTTGTTTTTTTTCCTAGAGACTGTCTATTGATACCAGTGCCATACAGCTATTATCTCTGACTTGTAAATGGCAATTTTCTTTTAGGAGCTAATTACTTTAGCAGTAGGTAGAAATTAGGATTCTTTTTTCTCCCTGTTTTCTGGGTGGTTATCATTTTTTTAGGTGCTTTCTCCTTTCTCCCCATTTGATAAGCTTATATGTACAATTAAGTTTATTTTCATAATTTGAAAAGAGATTATCATAGAATCTGAGACATGGAAAGGACCTTGGGATCTCACAATCCAATTTGTGAATTCTATGTGGTTTTGTCTATGTGGGATGACAAAAATGAAAGTGAAATTCTATCTTGAAAGAAATTTATTTTGCATTAGCAAAGTTACAGGCATGATGAACTGTGTTCAGTATTGGGCACTACATTTAAAAGAGGCAGAAAAGGGGAGCCAGAACATTCCTACTATGTAAAAGAGACATGGTAACTATCTTCAATTTTATTAAAAGCTGTCAAGAAGATAAATAGAATACATGGGCTTATTTGTATAAATAGCTCAACAGAGTTGAACTAAGACAAATGAATAGAAGCAGATTTTGACTCATGTCAATGGAGAACTTCCTAATAAATTGATGTGTTCAATACTGAAAGAAGCTGTCATATAAAGTAGTGAGTCTGGGCCATCAGGAGCACAGTAAAAAAAAAAGATTCAGACGTGGAATGAGAGGCTGAAATAGCAATGCCCTAAAGGCCCTTCCAAAGCTAAGATTCTATAGTGTCACGTAGGTATTAGTTTATTTTCATCATAAATGTTCTGTAGTATCTTTAAAAGGTGAAAACCTCAAAGATAAAGCAAAGATGGCAAATAACCCTAGTAGAAAAGTCTAGAAGAGGAATTTTTGAAGCATATTTTATATCCAAAGGGGCTGATTGAGTGGCAGAAAGTAAAAGATCCTTTATATAATAAATATTTCCTATACAACTGTAAATTTAAATATAATAAATCTAACCCCTACAAAAATGAAAAACCAAATAATTCATGCCAAGATATAAAGACTGAATACCCAGCGATTTCACTACCTAACTTTCGTGCATTGATTTTATTCCAGCAAAAATAAATAACTTTACATAAATATAATTTATGTAAATAAAAAAGATAGGCATAGCAACTGGATTACTGATTTTATTGGCACAGAATATTAAAATCTCCCTATATGTATGATAGCACTTTCCCTGAAACTTACAGTCTGAGAAAACTGCCTAGGGCATCTAGAGGTCCAATAACTTGTACAGGGTCACTCCACAAACAATATGTTTCAGAGGCAGGATTTTATATGAATTTAAATATAATTTTAAAATCTCTAGAATAGTATGTCTAAAATAAGGATGGGGAGAAATTACAAATGTGAACATTTCAAAGCCTAAAGTCTGTTTTAGAAGTAGGTTTAGAGACACTCTAGATTAGACCAATGACCCTAATTCATTGTAAAAACCCTTCCCTCTAACCCCAGCTCCTCCACTAGCTGCCAATCTAGACTTCCTCGGAGTAGCCTCAAAAACTTGGCAGTTTGCTACCACAGTAAACTAAACAACAGCTGCTGATCTTCATTGTTAGGGGGTGGGCTTCCCCAAAGAAAGTTATCCAATACTGACAAAATTATATGTCTAGCCATTCCCCATGTTCCTCACCCAAAAAATCATCCAACTAGATAGTTATTACTGTCTAAGATGTCTCTATCAGTGAGCCTCAACGCAAAATGGAAACTGTCCTGTTCTGTAATCATATTTAGGCAGAACGAACTGTTTTTTGCTCCTTATTGGCAGAAAATCTTTCACTAAAGACTTCACTTAAGAGCCGGGATGCTTCACGGTGGAACGGAGTTAACCCTGAGTTCCTGAAGGTATTACCAACAGAACCCAAGCTGAAAAAGCTTTGACCATAGGCCAGTTGGTAGACCAATCTTGCCAAGGCTGTGAAGATTTACTACTAGTAAGGTAGCCACCTTAGTGATGAATTTTTAGTCTATTAGCAATTCATGAAAGCCATGTACTATAGCACTGAAGGTCTGTGATATGTGTTGGTGGAAGGAATACAAATATGTAGGCCATCACAAATTCTGTGAAGTATTGATACAAAATATATAGCAAGTGTCTGAGGTCATATCTGAACCCTGGTTTTCCCTGACTTTAAATTCAGCTCCCTATCCACTATGGCTTATTGCTTCTCTACTTAGGTACTTTAAGTAATTTTTGCTAATTTAGCGATAAAGGCTACCCTAACCGTTAAATATCAACACCAAGTACGAATCTGCAGAAGCCATGAATGGAAAACACACATACCTGGGCTGGACTCTTCAGGAGGGGGGCTGCTATCTGCACAGAAATGGAGGTGCAACATGCATGATTAAGTAGCCGCAACACAGTCTAAACATAAGCAACTCAAATGCTTAGGGCAAGGGCATAAACAGCTTTCAGTAAAGCAACTGAACAAATAGCAAAAGATTGGCCATCAATTTGCTAGACCTGACCAGAGCTTAGCACAGCACCTGGCACTTCGTAGGCACTTAATAAATGCTTACTGATTGAATGACCACATAACAAAGAGTAACATTAATGTCATCAGACTGCTAATATGAATAAGGATCTTTTTTTTTGTATAGAAATATTCTAATTACCATTTGTAGACTATTCATATTCTTAATCAGTACTTCAACACAAAATGTTCATTAGGACAGAATTAACACTACAATGTGACATGAACCTTTGGAAAGCTTATAGCTGAATCACATTGTATGTGGAAAAGTTACATTTGCAAGCAAATATACAATGAAAGACCCATAGAGATCTACAGATCTAATTAACAAAGAATGAAATTCAAAATCAGTTACCTGGAATAATGCCCCTTCTCTCTTATTCTGGAAGAAGTATTTTTGAGATTCAAACTCACTAAGATTCAGTAATGAAACCATTATGCCAAAAACTAACATCTCATTTTCTAGATTTACACTAAACACCTATTAGCAAAAATTTCTGTACTTTAGGCCTGGGTGGGGGAGGAATTTAATAATATTTTACCTACATATACTGTGCCTTACACTAGAAGCGGATATTTTTTGTGGGGGAGACCGAGTCATTCTATATCACCCAGGCTAGATAGGGATCATTAACAAACTGGGACAGTTAGTTCCTCTTTAGGCAGCCTGGTGGCATCGGGCTCCTGGGGTCTCCCCCATTGGTGCTTAACTTAGTGTAGACACATGATTAGCTATAGCCCTACTGTAGCTCAGAAACCCCAAACTAAAGTAATCCACCATCCTCAGCCTCCCAAGCAACAGTGATTATGCCCAGCCAGAAGTGACCATTTCAATTTCACTTCTTTATTGAATCCTCTAGGTGTACTATTCAGTTGAATCTGATAAATCAAAGATAAGAAACTTTAAAAGTGATATTTGGAAGAAGTCTCCATTTTGAATTCTGCCACCTTGGTTCCATAGTTTTCAGTTAAAAACAAGTGGCAGGAGAGAGATGGTTTTCTGGTCCATAGCATATTCATTTTTATTTATTCATAGAAAATATACTAGCATCTTACAGAGAAGTCAACTGTATTCAGAAACCAGTTTCTGAGAAACCTGTTGAGGAATCTTCTAAGTATGCTGAGCAGGCTGAAAGACAGCCATGTTTTCTTGGATGACTAAATCAATCAATTAGGGAAAAACTAAGGGAAGAGAAAAGGACTACGTCCTTTGTCCCAAACTTGGTGACATTGTTTTTCCCTGGTACACACTTCACGTTAGATAGGAAGAGATCATTCACTAAGGACTATAAAAGGAGGCATGGAGATTAGAGATTTAATCCCTGACAAATAATGCCATAGATAATTTTTAGAAATGGGGAAAAAGAAAAAGTAATGGTCTTATAATCCAAAGACTTTTAAATTGCTCCCAGCTTCTCAGAGATGGAGAGAGGTGGAGAAACAGGCATAAAAGTGACATCAATGTCTAAACATCAGTTTAAGCTCTCAATCCATTGGAGAACAGCAATAATACTAATTCAAATTTAAAATGGCTCATCAAAGACATAAGCCCAAAGAGTAGAAAGGTGGTATAAGTAACTTCAACATAGGTGAATAAATAACAATTATGTTGTTGTTCGAGTACTTAGGGTAAAGAGGGGGGTAAAAAGGAAAGAAAATGGTTTAAGTAACCTCAAGTTTTGAAGCACTATAGAAAAGGTCACTTTCCCAAATTCTGCACTTCCACATATCTGTGGGGGCATATTTTTGCTTAGCCTGCATTACAAGCCTAGTCTTTATTTCCCAACTACAGGCCTCCTTACACAGCTAGGTCCAGTGTCTTCTGGCAGCTCTGAAACTTGTTTCTGCTGAACAAGCCCTAATTAGTGCACAGCAGAGAGCCATGCCAGGTTTCTCATTAAAAGGTGAGACTGAAGACCAAGGATGAAAGTAGAAAACGGGGTCTTAAAGGTCCTAACTCCACTTACAGAAAAGAAAAATAAGGGAAGAAAGACTGGTTATTTAATAAAGATTTTGTGTAGAACCAACTACTTATTAAGCCAAAATAACTACCACAATTATTTGAATATGGTACAAAAGGTTCTATTAAAAAACAACTGAAATTGAATGCTGTGAAATTATAATGACTATTAGCCCCAAAGAAGACTTCTAAGAACGCACCTCCTTTCTTTGCAGAGGTGGGAAGCTATGGCCATAGAACAAAGCAGACTTTTTTGCTACATTGATTAGTTTTCCTTAAGTTTATTTTTTCCTCTTTTAAAATTAATTATAGGAAGGTTGGGGTAGGGATATGGTGGGAAATGTAGGGAATGTAAAACAAAATATATCACTAAAAATTTATTTTAAGCTATTTATCCAACACTTGTTGAAATAGTCCAAATCTACTTTTTGAATGTACATCATGGGCCAAAAGAAGACTTACAAGCACGTCTTCAGTTCTAATCCTCCAGATCGCTTAGAGGTTGGAGGATTTTTTCTGATAAATAACAAACTCTAAAACTAAGGATTTGCATGGCATTTATTTTAATGGCATATGGTTTCATACATCTTCCTGTGTTTGGATCAGCAAATAAAAATCATTTGAAACATGCATTTAAGACAACAGGAAAACTGATTTTCATGGTATGCATACTTAATAAAAGTCTACCTCTATAGATCAAAATAAACACTTGTTTAGGCATCTACTAAAAAATGTATTTACATGTCAACATATTTATAACACCTAACTGCGCCTGAAGATAACCTCAAAATTCTGGATATATATACAGTGTAGTTGATTAAACATATATTTTATGTACTTAAAAAGCCACAGTTACTTGACATTTTTGAGAAGCATTATTTTAAAAATGACAAAATCCTAAGATTAAAGTCAAATGAACATGAACCAAAAAATACTTAGAAATGCAAAACAAATATGTGTACCAACTACATGTTCAGCAAGTGCAAACATTTCCTTGTGGATGAAACAGGTAGAAGATATGAATACCGTCAAAAGTTAGGCTCAAACAAAATATTGCATTTAAATCCCATATTGAGTAGGATATGTTCAGGTGAAGAGAACTTTATAAATGAAAGAGGATTTGATTATTTACCAGTAATAAATTTATTTACTTATAACAGCCCCTGATTCAGAAGCAGGATTTAATTATAATGTGCTAAACTCTTTTGATTAAAAACCAAAGACTTCATTGCATGAGTCCTTTATCTGGAACATTCTAACTGGAAGTTCATGCTGCCTAAACTTAGCGCAGAAGGGTTAAAGAGAACAAATAATCTAGATGCTATTCCATGCACATGTGACCTTTCTGAATCCACTTCAGGAACTGAGCAAACATAGGCTGCTATCCTGAGTTTCCTCCCCTATTTAGAAGGCATGCAGTAATGGTATTAAAATAGAAGAAATACAATGGGAGTTTATCTTTAGAGTATAGTAATGAATGATTCCACCAAAGTCTTTGAGTTTTATATGAATTTAGCATCCTGTCAAGATTAACTTCTAGGTATGTCACATTTTAGCATCCTTAGCTGAGAAAAGAGAATTAGGCTTATAATCAGGTCTTTAAGAAGATGCAACAAGCCTTTTGGCTTCTCTAAACCTAGTTTCTTCCCTATTTGACTCTTTCATTCTTTGGTTCCTCCATTCTTCACCAAATGGCAAGTTTAACACTGTACTCCCTGTGAGCCCAAGCCAGCCTTTGTGTACCAACTTTGGTTTTAAAAAGTCTAAAAAAAAACCTGGAAAGCATAGCAGGCTTTCCAACACAAGCAAGTGCCATAGCTCTTTCCTGGGATTTAGAGACTGCCAAGGATGTGGCCTGATACACCGGATTCTGATTTTTGAAAAGTTAACATGAATATTGGCCTTCAGGGTATACCTCCTCGCACAAAAAAAGCTTAGCTGAAATATCCTGCTCATGTGTGACAACTATCCTTGCACTCTGAGTGAAAGGTATGCTTCTAGAGGTTTGGAAAGACAAATGAAAAAGAACAATGATGCAGCAATGAAAAATAAAGGCAACAAAAGGCGAGAAGCATGGACCCATACGCACTTGTGCTCCAATGAGAATGGAATGCAGCAGATGGCATGGAGAAGGAGCATGATGAGGATGCATGTGAGGATTCCGGTCTTATCCAATAGGCTCGATTATCCCGATTACCTTTCTTACTAGGCCCACTGACATCACACTGGAAAACATCTTCACAGCTCTCACTGTGCAATCGCTCTTTCTGGAGAAGTTTGTCGACTCTCTGGATGATGCACTCCAGGCTTTTGTCGACATTCAACCAAACTTTTTCCTTAAAAGGAAAAAAATGCCTTCTTTACTCTTTCCAAAATGACCACTTCTCAATGTTACTTGTATGTCCCAAGAATTTACCCAAAAACAAAGTTTGTGTCCACAGACCACACTGAGTCCTAATGCAATTATGGACTCACTTGTTAAAATTTTATCTGTTTTTTTTCCCCCCACAACAAAAACAAAACTCTATTTTAGCATTTCCCAAGCTTGATATGAGAAATACTCCTAGAGATCTTAGAAAACTGCAAAGTGTCATAGAACCTTGAATGTTAGAAGGAAATCAAGGGCTATTGGTCCAGGATGAACACAATGGGTTATCTTCTTTCATACTTTAGTTTTATTCTTCCAATCCCTAGACCTTAGTTGTTAATATCTACTATCATTACAATGAGGATGCCTAGTTGCTTATGAGGAAGTGCTGGTTTTTACAGATCCCAAATGAACAGTTAAGAAGAGTTAAGAACCCAACAATTCATTGCTTTTCATTTTTATGTCCATTCCAGAGAGTGGTGATATGGGAAAATGTGCTAGATTTTTAGTCAGAGAACCTGTGCAATCTTGGGAGAATCAAACCAAATTGGGACACACATTCCCTACCTGTAAAATGAAGGCCCTGGACTGGATGGCCTGTATGATTTCTTCAACCTCCAAAACTATGACATCTATGACCCCAACATAATGCTTCTAAATTATTTCCTCAACAGATAACAAAAATAGGCCATAAGGCTGCATTGCTCCCTTAGAAAATAAAAATTCTATTCTTAGAAAGCTAGTACTCACCCAAGTTGTGTGATTTTAGAGGCAAAAGGAAGCACCCCAATCTCTGTTCAAAACTACGCCCAATACAGTGAGACAATGATTGCCAAAGTATCTCCTACTAAACAAGGGATTCAGTACTTTCTGTTAAAGAATTATGCTATCCAGGCATGATAATTTAAAATATAAAGGATACTAATACCTAGGAAGGATAATCTTAAATGATTAAAAATCAACAGATACTACTCAGTGTTAATTAGTAGACAAGATTCATTTCTTTTTTTCCTCTGATAAATTAACTGAAAATAGGATACAGGAAGAATAGGGAGTTGAATTGAGAGGTAAAGAGCAGAGAGGTGGTGGATCATACCTAGAATGAACTTTGGCATACTTTGCAGATGGAGTTAATTTGTTGCTTTGTTTCGCTTAACTGTGTTTTTGTTGGTCTATTGGTTAGGGAGAGGAGCAATGAGAAATGATAAAATTTATTTTTTTTAAGGCTTCAATAAACACTTTCGTTTGCAAAAGGGGTAGAAATCTGAGAATAATTCTCAAAAAACCAGATGACTTTCTCAGGCATGGGTAGACTATGATAGGTTATCTAGTGATGTTAGGGGACAGCATAGGTACATCAGTGCCTTGAGGGAGAAGAAAGGAGCCCACAAAGAGAAATCATGAAGCCTTCAAAGACTACTTTACTTCCTCCATGATTCTGCTTCGTAATCTGGCCAAGAGCACATACCTGACACTTAGTAGGGCCTAAGGGTAAAGGCAGTGTCCAATATGAAACATGGTGGTTTGGAAAGCATTACTGAGGGGACGTGGAACCATACCCACTTGGAAATGGAGTCTCCCAGGAATAGGAAGGTAAGGACACATTTTAATTTTTCTACCTACTGGTACTGGCAGAGATTCAGCACTTACCCATTCTGCCTCATGCCAATCCGCATGGAGAGAGCGACTATTTCTTCCTGTATACTTTGCCACAAGAGTGTCTTGATCATTCCTCAGCATCACCTGCTCCTCCTCGGTTGAGGTGGGAGAGGCTTTGGAGGCAATGTAATCAGGTCTAGCAGCATTAAGTCCATGTATTGAATTAGCCAACAATTTACAGTCACAGACAGTAATCAGTTGTCTTGTCTGAGAAAAGAATATAAACACCGGTTATTGCTAAGCCGTTTTTGCCCTCCTTAATCTGAGCTGGTCTTCTGCCAGTTTTTTTTTCTTTCCTAATGAGAAAGAATTCTTTTCCTAAGGTAAAGTATTCTTTATTTTGGCGGGGGGGGAGCTAGGCAGTGGGATTAGGTGACTTGCCCAGGGTCACACAGCTAATAAGTGTTATATGTCTGAGGCCGAAGTTGAACTCAGGTCCTCCTGACTCCACGGCCGGTGCTCTATCCACTGCACCATCTAGCTGCCCCAAGGTAAAGGATTCTTACATTACTTATTCCCTCCTCCACAAAGAGAAAACAAAAATAAAGCACATGGAGTTTGTAAATAATTGAAAGAAATGCTAAATTCCAGTTAATGAAAATAAAAGATGTAATTTCTTTTCCCCATACAAGTTCACAAACCCCCTTTACTGACCTGAAGTTAAGAATACCTGGCCTGGATGCTCCCTTCTAAGTCTAAAGCTATGAACCCATGGATCTGAACCCTGCTTCTGACACACACCAGTTATGTGATCCAAGGACAAACCACTCAATCTCTCTCTCTCTCTCTCTCTCTCTCTCTCTCTCTCTCTCTCTCTCTCTCTCTCTTTTCTTTTTTTGCTTTTTGGCTAGGCAATGGGGTTAAGTGACTTGCCTAAGGTCACACAGCTAGTAAGTGTCAAGTGTCTGAGGTCAGATTTGAACTCAGGTCCTCCTGACTCCAAGGGTGGAGCTCTATGCACTGTGCCACCTAGCTGCCCCACACTCAATCTCTATAAGCCTTCGTTAACTCATATTTAAAACAGAGATAATGATGCCAATAGTATCTACCTCACAATGTTCCCATGAAGCTCTGACTCTTAGAATCTTGCTTTTCTTCAAGTCTCAGCTGAAGCAATATCTTTCCAGATCCATCTTGCTATATATGTTTTCCTTCCGAGGTTACCTTTTATCTCTCCTTCTATGTGCACATGATGTCTCCCTCCACCCCCATTAGAGTGTAAGCTCACTGAGGGCAGTCTGAATGCAGATTAAAGCATATTATTTTGACTTTTTTGGGTTTTTTTCCCTCCATTCCCCCCCCTTTTGTTGTTTCTTCTTTCACAACATGACTAACATGGAAATATGTTGTACATGATTGTACATGTATAACATATCAGATTGCTTGCCGTATTGGGGAGCAAGGAGGGAGAAAAATTTGGAATTCAAAGGCTTTCAAAAAAAATGAATGTTGAAAATTGTCTTTATACGTAATTGGAAAAAATAAAGTACTATTAAATTAAAAATAAAATATAAGTATTGTCATCCCTGTACCTTATCTGCTAGGATGGCGAGCGTCCTTTCAAGGCCATTAGATGATCTATCCTTGGCTGCCCTTGACAGCCTTTCAGCATAGTAACTGACTTGGGTTTTTAAGGTGTTGATCTGGGCAATAATCTCCTTCGCTCTGATGATATCCTGTGGTGCGTATATTATTGACTGGCAGCTGGGTGAGGTACTGAAAAAAGAAGGAAAGGTTTTAAAGTGATACTTAGAATAGTCCAGTAATTCAGTAGAGTTTTGCTGAACCCAATCATCTCCCCCTAGATAATCAAGAATAATCACCCCAAGGCTCCCTGTCTTTCACCTAAGTTGATTTCTCTGTCAAAAATTTTCATTAACTTTACTCAAATGAACAATTAGTGGCTGTTTATGCCCAGTGAAAATAGCAATAAAGTAGAACTAAAGGGGAACTTCTCTACAGACAACTTTAGTGGCAGATCTTGCTAACAAATCCCTTTTTTTGGTTCCTTTTATTTGTCTGGTTAGCACTTTTATCTTCCTTTACTCTGTTTCATCTCTAATCTTTACAATCTTTGAATAATTTGTACCTATTTTTTTCCTTAGCTCTCAAGGTACTAGGTCTTTTCTATCTTGAATTTTTCTATTTTGATCCATTAGCTGTTGTGGAAAAGGAAACGTTAGATCAGCAGAGATCAGAGAGATATTAAACCCTTCAGTGGTTGGTCAAATCTCTGACCCTCTTCCTCATTCCACCTAGGCACTACTAGGCAAAAAAGACCATTATCCAGACCAATACAGTACAAAGCATATTGTGGATACAGCCAGACCATGAATTTCAATAAGAATGAGTGGACTGGTTTGGATATTGCCTTTGAAAAAAACTAATCCTCTTCTTAGGGGTTAGTGCCTTCAGGTCTGGCTGCCAGCTGGAGAAGACTAAATGAAAGACACAAGTCCTTCCAGCCAAGACTCCAAAGCAACAAAAATACTTCCTATTTTAAAAAAATCTGTGAGAGCAAGGAGAATTAGAGAAGAAAAGTTGGCGTTGGAAATCATACTGCATACAAGTGGAAAATCAGAGATCATGTCTAAAAAGGTCCACGTTCTTCCTCAAAGAGGAGCAATGGAATTATCACCTCAAAGGAAGAACTTTGATTTTCTCTGGGTGTGGCCCAATGGAAGGATGAGATAGACACAAAAGAGCAAAAGGCGGCATTCATCTCACCCGTCCCACATTTCCACTATAGGTGCATGTGGTCCAAACAGCCTTTATTACCTTGTAAATTAGACTCTACCCACAGAGATGGGTAGCTATCTCTCATCCCCACAACTGGGCGAACATGCAAAAACAAGGGATTTGCCAGAAGCCCATGCAGCAGACAGAGCTCAGATCTCTGTTTAAGTACAAGAATTTCATTTCACAGCATGAGATTTACAAACATCCACTTTCCCAACTGCAATCACTTTTTTCAAATGAATAGCTAGCTGTCCATTTAGAATTAATTTGCTATCAAATCCACAAATTCAAAACGGATTTTTAAAAGCCTGTATTTCACTGTTCTTTCCACATCAGGCGAGAAGAACATAAGTCATTCCCAATATTTTCACCTACCTGTTTTCAATATTTAATTTGCAGCATTCACCATAGAAGAGGATTTGGGAGAGGTGAGAAAAGGGAAAAAATTTCTGTTTGGTAGGTTCTTTGTACAAATTAAAGTGATTCAAGTATTTATGTGCATTCTAATTACTTTTTAAAATGATTATGACTATATTAAAAAGGAAATCTATGCTCAACAAACATCTTAATGTTGTGTATGTGTTATGTTAAAATCTAATTACATATCCAGAGAAGAGGAGAACCCTCTAGACCAGGAGTTCTTAAAATGGGATCTATAGAATGATTTCAGGATGGGAGGTGGGGAGGTTGTCTGAAATGGGGAAAAAAAATTTATCTTTATTTTCACTGCCCTCTAACTGAACCATCTAACTTTGGCATTTCTTTCAATTATGAATCTAGGCAACAAACATTATTCTGAGAATGGGCCCATAAGTTTCATCGGACTGCTAAAGGGGCTCATGACACAAAAATGATTAAGAAGTCTGCTCTAGATATTGCTAGTTATTCTACCACCCCAGGCTAGGAGAAAGATATACCACTTTCTGCATCAGTGGTTTGATAGGGAGGGGGGCATTATGATGGTATGACTGTAAAAGCAAATTGTTTGAAAATAATTCTAGACTAAGACAAAAGTGCCCAAGAAAGGACAAAGCAGGAACACATGAGCATACTGCTTTCTTAATATTTTTTCATATTAAATAAAGGGATACAACAGTTATTCTCTCAGAGTCAACTGTCATGCTTCATGCTTAAGCTGAAAAGTTTTGAAAGAGAATAATAAATTGGGAATTAGCTATTCATTATCTCAGAAAATTGCAGTTGGAAGAGGAAAATAAAAGAATTTCTACAACATTTATAACTACATTCACTTAAAACCAACACAGACAATGGTGCCACAATACACAACATTTAAAAAGCGCTGTACACTTAGAAAAATGGTACAATATTTTTCTGTTTAAGAACAAGGCCCCCAACAAAAACTCTCTCCACAAACAGAAAACTCACCAACATTCCTCATAACTGCTAAAGAAAAGAATCAAAATTAAAGTTAGCAGGTTGTTAGAGAAAAAAAAAAAAAAACAAATGCAAAAACAAGCCAAGTGACTTCTTGAAAATACTTCTTTAAAAAAACAACAACAACAACAAACAAAAAATCCCCTGGGTATAGAGATGATGAATTTGTAGACCAAATGTATGTTAACTGAGTCAGGGAGTATTAATTAGTTGCTTCATGCTCAAAGTCCACAGGCAAGTCATCCACAAGAAAGATATATTTGTCTCAATAGAAATTTTCAAAGTGATATTAAAGGCCTATGATTGATTTTTATATTAGTAGTGGGGGTCAGGGAAGGATGAAAAAAATATACATACTTCTCGTATAATTGAGCACAGAATAAGCACTTGGGGGAAATTCATTAATGATACTGTTCAGGATTTCTTTGACACTAGGTAACAGGAAAGTGTTTTTCATTTATTTGTTAACACTATTAGTCCCCTCTCCTGCCTCTCCGTGTCCCCTCCCTCACGGAGGCAGAGCAGTAATGCTACAGAACAATTTATTTGCTCATATACTCTAAGCAAAAGTTGTGTCTTCAAGGCCTCTGTCAGGGTGAAAGAGTTCTACAAACCTTATCATAATGACCAAAAGGTGCATTCAAATGCTTATCACAGAACAATATGCAAGGAGGCCAGAGAAGCACATTTTTTCCTGACTGGCTGTGGTCAAGGCTGGGATCAAGGCTTCATTTTGTCTTAGCCTTGCTGGGAAGCGCAACAAATCATGTTTACCCAAGTACACTTGGAACTGCTGAACTGTAAAGCTGTGAGTTCCTCAGCCTTCCTATATTTAGGAAGTGTTATTGATAGCATTGACTCAAGAGCTGAAAGCAATCTACTGTGATGTTCCAGTATGGCCTTTGAACCCAAGAAGGGCTAATCTAAAATTTCCTAGACATTTCCTCCCATTTTGTTATTAATGGAAACAGATAACCACTAGTGAGCAACTTTCACATAGCTTTTCATTTATTCGATGACAGTGATTTTCCTAAAGTACAGATCTGAGTCACACTCTTTTACCCCCCTCCCCTACCTCAATAAATTCCAGTGGCTCCCTATTACCTCTAGGACCAAATATAAAAACCCTCTGTTTGGTCATTTAAAGTCCTTCCCAATCTTGCCCCTTCCCACCTTTCCAGTCTTCTTACTTTTTACTCCCCTCCACCATGAAATCCAGGAACAATGGCCTCCTTGCAGCTTCTCAAACATGACATTTCCTCTCCTGATTCTTTGCCTTTGCCCTAGCTATACCCCATGCTTGGAATGCTCTGCTCCCTTCACCTCTACCTCTCAGCTTTCCTAACTTCTTTCAAGACTCCAACTCAAATCCCACCTTCTGAAGGAGGCCTTTCTCTGTCTCCACTTAACTACCATTGCCTTCCCTATTGAGACCACCTTCCATGTGCATCCAAAGGTCTCTGCATGTTGTCTCCACCATTATAATGTAAGCTCCTTGAGGGCATGGCCCATGTTTCAGCATTTCTCTGTATCCCCAACAATTAGTACCACGGGCACCATGCCTGGCCTATAATAAGCACTTAGTATGTATTTGGTGACTCTGCTATAAAAGTCATTTCTCAGATTTCTCTTCTTCAAAGTACAACAATTTCAGTTCCTTTGGACTTCTCATTGGTTCAACTTTCTTTTAATGGTAATTTTGGTCATTTTCCTCTGACTTCCTACTCCAAGGTTCTTCAATATATGACAGCTCCCCAAAACTGTCAGATAAAGATTTCAGGCCAGATCCATGCACAAAGTTATTAGGCTCCATATGCTGCAGGTAATCAAGATAATAGGGTCTCTCCCTTTAACAACCAAAAGGCAGAAGAAGTATCAACTTTGAGCTCAAGTCACAATGTTCTAGTACCCATCACACCCAGATATAAAGACTCAGGCAGGTCCCAGACCTGAGCTCACTGTGTACACACTTTTAAAATTAGTCTTTGGGCTTCACTATCCTTCTTGCTTTTGAGTTCTACATCACTCCAGTTACTACAATGCTAAAAGAACAGAATGCAAAGTCATTCTTCCTGTATTATTTTACAAAGAAGACTTAAGTAAGTCTACTTTGAGGGGGGATCACCAGCACTTACTTGAATGGTCATTTAGCAAAATCAATTAGGTTTGACTCCCGCCTACCCACTATCTTGTTGACCCTAGAAACTAATGATTTTTGTCCTGAGAGCATATAATCCAATCTATTCATTAAATTTTAGTGATGTTCAAGTAACTAAATCAGAACTGCAAAAAGCTATTCATATAAATGATATATAATATGTAAAGTGTTTTGAAAAACCTTTAAAAGCTCTATAGAAATGACAGTTATTATTCAAGGGTAATTTTACATAATATATTCCATGTCCTTCAGATTCATTAGGAAGAAGAAAGAACTGTATTGGCTAAATGATTTTCAAAGTCAGATTAACTTAAAAACATTTTTAAATTAAAGAAAATGAGAAAAATGTGAAACCTTCAATCATCCAGCCAGCTCCTTGACACAAACACAAAGAATAATACCAATTCTACAAGGCAGCTCTTTCCACTGAGCCAGAAGCAGCTCAAACTGGCCAGATTTTCCCCCCTAAGCTTGAAGGGCATCAAACAAAGATAAAGATCAGGAAACTCTGTAGCTACTTACTGTTTCTTGGTCTCTTCAAATTTGTGCAGTCGTTTTCGAAGACCTCCTGACTTAAAGCCTTGGCAATGTGCTGCGGCTGCTCCTATGGTTATGATGTCATAGTTCTGATCTGAAGGAAAAGAAAGGCCTCATCAATTACTCCGGGCTTATCCATACATCCCCCAAATCAAGCTTTCCATGGTAGTCTCTAGCTCTAGCATTTAGGGTCAATAATAAGCCTTAAGGACACTGCTGATGTGCAACCATGGTAGTATGGTGAGTTGAAAGCAAATTTAAAGTTAGACCTGTTCAAATCTCAGCTCTGGCATAATCTGGCTATATGACAGTAAGTAAGTCACTTAACCTCACAGCGTTCCAGAGAACTCTCTTAACTGTAAGTTGTAGAGCATGTAGCAATATGAATTGATAGAAGTGGTTTACTCATTGAGAATTCCATGTACCAATGAAACCAGAGGTCCTTTTCAAAAAAAAGAAAAGAAGAAAAGAGGGAAGAAATAAGGAAGGAAGGAAGGAAAGAAGGAAAAAGGGAGAAGCATTGCTAACAACCTATACTAAAAAGCTAACTTAGTTGTCTGTAAATCTTACAAATCAAGAGATGGGTTCTCACCCAAGAGAATGGTACACAGGATTATGGAAATGTATCAGGCAATCCTTTTCTACTTCTCCTTCTTCAAGGACCACTACTGGAGACTTAGGATGATTTATTACAGGATCTTAAGAGAAAGAATTGGTAAGGGGATGGTACAGCTGAAAGTCTCAAAAGGAAGAAATGTAGGCCCTTGAAAAAATATGAAAATCTATGAAATTCATTGTTTCCTTCTCACGCTTCTTATTACGAGCTCCCCAGCGGATGATTATGTGAAAAAGGCTAGGGCCTGTTTATATCAGATATTAGTTATGTAGGGATGAGAGAAGTCAATAAGGGCTTAATAAGAAGGGTAAGAGAAAGAAATACCTGATGCTCCATCATCTTGGACTCGCATTCTCTGTATATGCAAATTTGTGGGTACAAATTCCAACTTTTTATCAGCTTTCAAACTGCTTGCCTTAAATGAGGGGCCTAAAAGCAATGGAACAAGAGAAAATAAATATCAGACAATGAATATTCTCTATGTGCAAATGGCACAAAAAAAGAAAAAAAAAGGTATTAGCATGTTTCTGAATATAGCCAGGTATGCTGGGGTGGTGGCTTGGAGATTTCTGAGTTGCCTATAAGAACATTTTAACTTGAAGATGGTAGATGGGTGTAAATACTGGAAGAAAGGGCAACTTGCTGGCCAGAAGACTAGTTCCAGGATGTTTAGGTGGAACATGCTGTTAGTAAGGGTGAAGAAAGTCATCAGAGCTCTATGGAAACAGCAATACACCATTTGGAAGCTCTGGCTAAACACTGTGGCATGCACACAGAGAGTCACAGAGTTATGCAAATCAAGTGGGTGGATATGTCAGACTCTACTACCACATGGCTATACCAGAAATTCCAACTATAGAGATACTTTACCATCAAAAATTAAAGCTATCAGCTCAACTAGAACAACACCTATCCATCTTGAACAAGGGGAAGAAAACCTGTTCGTGAAGCATCAAAAGGAAAGTATGTGGTAGACTTTCATACGTCAGTCTTTTAAACAACAGCAATAACAAAATAAACACACACACACACACACACACACACACACACACACACACGTCAATATAAACAGATTGGAAGGAATTTTGTAATAAATGTCTTAGATCTCATTTTGGTTATTTATCCTTCACTCAAGTCGTACTCCAATGCTATATCATAGCATGGCGGCCACCTAAGGTTCTCAAAGGCTATACCACTGGAGAGTACAAATTCTAATAGACTCTACTAAGCAAGAAAGCCTTCAAAGACAGAGCCTGAGAACCAGCCTAGCTTTTCAAAAAGGGTCGCCACTAGATTGGGTGTAAGGGGATGGACAGTTTTTTAAGGTATTAACTTTTGAAGCCTGTCTTCTAAATAATTAAGAGGTTGCAATCTGCAAAAGTGAGGGGAGTGCAAGCAATAACAAAATCAAAAAACCTAGAAATACTCCAAAATCTCTGCTGAATGACTCCATCACAGTATAAAGGAGAATGTACCTGGGTCCATTTCACAGCTGAAAATCACTTCAGTGTTTTCTTAAGAAAAGTTCCAATCAAAAGATTTTGGGGAAAAACTCCAATCTAATTGAAAGAATATAATCTTATTTAAAGCAGGAGTTCTTGATCTTTTTTGTGTAAAGGATGTCTGGTGAGGTCCACAAACCCTTTCTCAGAATCAGGATTTTATTTTATTTTTTTTCTTTTTGGTGAGACAATCAGGATTAAGTGACTTGCCCAGGGTCAACAGCTAGTAAGTGTCAAGTGTCTGAGGTGGGGTAGAATAAGGATTTTAAATGCATAAAATACAATGCATAAGGATTACAAAGGAAACCAATTATACTGAAATGCGAATACCAAAATATTTAATAAAACAAGTTCACACATTCCAGGTTATTCAAAGAATCCCTGTTTTAGAGGAAGGATGGCACAGCGAATAGAGAAACTGACTTGGTGTTAGGAAAAACCTAGGTCCAAGTATGGTCTTTGACTTATACTAGCTGTGTAAAAAAAAAATTAAAAACAAACAAACAAGCAAACAGACAGACATAAACTAGCTGTGTGACCCTGGATGATTCACTTAACCTTTCAGGGTCCCAGGAACTCTTTAAGACTGTAAGTTGTCAACAAGACTAATGTGAAAATAGGTTTAATAAGAATGTATATGTTGAGCTTATATCAATTTACATGACATCTTAGGATGGTGGGAGGGGGAGAAAGTTTGGAGCTCAAAATCTTATGGCAGTGAATGCTGAAAACTAAAAATAAATAAATAAATAAATTTATTATTATTAAAAAAAAAAAGATAGTAAGTGTCTGAGGATAGAATTGAAGTCAAGTCTTCCTGATTCCAGTTCTAGCATTCTCTCTACTGTGCCCCTGACTGCCTCTCAATCCCTGAATTACTTATTCAAGTGGTTTTAACCTCTCTGGGCCTCAGTTTCCTTCTCTTTAAACGAAGTTGTTCATGATTAATGTAGAAATATATTTAATATGATTGTACATGTATAGCCTATATCAGATTGCATGCCATCTTCGGGGAAGGGGGAGGTAAGAAAGGGAGAAAAACGTGAGACACAAAATCTTATAAAAGCGAATGTTGAAAAATAAAAATAAAAAAAGGTGCTCTCTATTAAAAAAAAGACTACAAGTTGTCAGAAGTTAAATGGCTCTTAATTTTGTCAGGACAGGAGACAGAAAAAACTATCAAGCAAATACATTTTTCAAGCAGTGCTTTCAGCTGAATGCTTCTGCAATCTACCTTCAAAAAAGGTATTTCCCAGTTGCATGACTTATTCTTAACATTTAACATTGTCACTCATTTTTTCCACTTTCTTCAAAAGGAAAAAAATGGTTCATAATTACGATTTTTGGTTTCTCCTCACTCAAGTGGGTGAAGGTCAATGAGGTCCTTTCCAGCTCAAGGTGTATGAAGCTGAGACTAGAGTCATGGGTATATTTTTCACATGTAAATTTTAAGCGTTCGGTGGAGAAATTACATTAGATACTTAGGACCTTTGTGCATAGTGGGAATGAAGGAAAGTATTTCAAGACAAGAGAATATTTGGTCACAAATACTGAGGTAACAGAAAATAATATTTTAAAATCTAAAACCCATTCCACTTGGAATCAAAGACAGACTGAGAGGGACTGAAGTACTACCATCATTTTGTGCTTATGCTAAAATTATCCAATGTTCTCTTTCAAAGAGAAATTGCGATGTTTTTTTTTTAGCCTCACATTTAAATTTTTAAGAGATAAAGTGTTAACTTATACAATCCTCATTTTCATTTCAACTACCATTCAAAAGAAAATAATCCAGAAGATTAATGTTCTCATAACAAGTAACTTGGGTCCTTTCTGGTGATTTCATTCACTCTGGACAAAGATGAACCAACATAGCCTATCTCTTATATTGCTTTTCAGTCCTTCCTTCTGATGCTTGACACTAGAGAACTATGATGGCAACTAATAAGGGTTCACCTTCTAAAATGAAATTTGAAAAACTCATAGTTAGAGGAATTTCTATTTACAAGAGACTCTATAAAAATCCATTTAAAATACTTAACTGATCAATAAGGTCATTAGAACTAAGTGTTTACTGAGATCCAGATGACATATTTCTAAAGAGAAAAAAGGTAAAGGCACCTGGAAGAATAAGAGTCAATTCCACTAACCTTTGTACTGATGTAAGTTAGTTAAGTTTTCCTGGTAAGTTAGTATGATGGTTTGGTACTGAGTAGCTATTTGTCGACGGAGACTTTCCCAGCAAGGAGATAGTTCTCCCAATTCTTCCAATTCACAAACCCTGCAAAGACAGATACAAAAACAGACAACTTATTCCACTCCAAGTCTGAGTGGCATCTTCAACCTACACTGTATTCGTGGAATACTAGTATTCTGTGCAATGCAAATGGAGGCTCTGTGGTAAACCATCGGTATAGTTTTTTAAAATTTACTTTAATTCTTTCAAAAAATTTTATTCATATCTTACTTTAATTTTTCAACATATCCCTTCCCTCCCTATCCACCCTGAAAGCCATCCCTTATTTAAGATAGAGAAAAAGCAAAAACAAAGCAAACGACATTAATCAAGCGCAACAATATAGGCAATGTTTTAAACGTCCCTCACCTCTTCACAGAAAGGAAGAAGCGCATTCTTATATTTCTTCTTTGGGGCCAAGCTCAGTCGCTATAGATTCACAGCATTGATTTCTACTTGCTATCACGGTGCTTCCCGTTTATTTTGTGGGAGTCGTCGTGTATATTATTTCTACTTACATCCCTTTGTGTCGCTTCGTCTAAGTTAACCCAAACCACTCTTTACTCTTCATATTCACTGTGACAAACTTTCAATGCTAACGATAACTTTCCTATCTAAAATATGAAATCATATATACTTTGATGAAATTTGTGATTGTATTTAAGTGGGTACTCCCTTCAATAGTACATATCACAATCCAATTAATCCTTTAAGACTCTTGTCCATCCAAGTCTTTTCATAAATCCTCCACAAGAGGTCAGGTCCAACCAACGTGCTGGGGCCATTCTATTGATGATGGAACATTGCATGGGGACCACTGGAGTGCATAGGCTATTTGTCATCTTTCACTCTGACTACATGATCAGCTTGCCTCCTTTGCCCATCACACATTTATTTGATGAAATTCTTTATACTATTTATTCTGAGCATTTCTTCACTAACATTATATTGCTGCCTACTTACATCCACAATACACCTCTCCATTGTCATTTGGATGACCTGCAACTTTAAATTTTCAGAGATTATGGTACTCCCTGACTCACAGCTATGGAGCATCATGAGAAGAATACTGATATTAAGATAAGCCTTTGTATTAGACAGAAGCTCAGCATCATTAGAAATATCTGTCAACTTCCCAAAGAAAATTCAGACCACTTTCTTCCTATTCAATTCTTGTCTATCCAAGATATGTACAGAGAACCCTGCTCTGTGCATAGGGTCTTTTTCACTATATATTCTAGTGTGGTTAGCACTCATTCTTCCTTTACTTGGTTTTACCTATGGGAACATTTAGGCATCTAAACATTAGGCATCTCAGCTATTATCGATCTCATTGACGAGGTTCTCTCAGGTTCTAGAGTTTGAAACAATCAGCATGCTATCATCTGTAACTATGAGCAACTAGAGAATTTCACAATTTTTCATTTGGATTCTGCTTTTGGCTCTCCTCTGTGATAATGGAAAATATTTTTGATAAGCATGTTTTTCTGACTTGTGATCAATGTTAATCATCAGAGAGCTGAACAAAGGAAATTTTTATCATAGCTGTCAAAGAACCTTGTATGATTCTGATATATACATGAGAGACATCTTGTTGGAGAAGAGCCTTTAAAAAGAGGAAATTTGTTCTCCTGAATCAAAAGCTTTTTTTTTTTAAACATCAACAACAAAAAAAGCATAATGAGATCTTGTATTCTCTGTACCTCTAAGTCACTTTGTGTGACTATAAAATTTTGGTTTGCTGTAGGATAATTTTTATGAAAGCCTTCTTGTCTTTTTCACATATCTTCTTCAAGGATGTCTTTGATGGGAGTGTAGATTGTTCTCATAAAATTTTTTTTTTTTTTTTTTTGCAGAAATGGGAAGTTGGCAGAGTTGGTAGTTATCAACATTTTCTTGACTACTTCATTTGAGCAATGCTAGGGTACATAAATTTTTAAAAATCATTTGACATCTTTCCTTCTTTCAGGTATCTCAAGTATGAAACCCTCAATGGCCTCTACACCATCTCCTCCAACACAGACTTCCTTTTTGGATACTTGTCTAACATAGTTGCACCTTGGTTGTCTTTAGTGCCATTTTTCTTCTTCTTCACAATAGAGACTGTGATAAAAATCCAAAAGTGGTAGCTCAAGGAAAGAGAAAACTTTGTCACAGAAATCTTAGCAGATCTTTTCCATTTCTCATTTATCTTTTGTCCTCTCAGTTTCATCTTTAACTGCCTCTGGTACGCCTTGTTTGGTTGGGTGTCTTGACAAACTTTTAGTAAACCTGCTTTTCCCTTTATTGCTATTTTATGGGCACTATGGCTCATAATGTACCATCTTCTTGTTTAAAACTTTACAAATGTATATGCTAACTCAGGGTGGCCGTTAGCTGGATTTCTTACCCTTTGTTAACTATTTGTTGCCTGAAGTGATTTCTGGTCTATTTATTTTGGTTAAGCAAGCTACCTCTTTTACACTGCCTTTGGGAAGGCTGACAGTCTGTGCTGATGTTTGTTGATGTGCATTTCCTTTTTTGTAGCTTCAACATCTTGCTGAAATATTCTGGAATGCACAGACCTTAATTGTATGCCACAATTCCTCAATTCTGTTCTTCCAATTTGTTATTGATTTTGATCACTGCTCTGACAAACTGGCATTCTGACTACAGAGGTGATACGAACATGACTCCCACACTGCTTACTAGTCATTTCCCAACTGTTACAGGATGATCAATTAAGTTTTTAAATGATGTTATTGGTATCTGTCATTTCTAGTTCCTCTCCAGTCCTCTTATTTTTTAACATTTAATTTTTTTTCCCTCAATTACACATAAACAAAAATTTTTAACATTCAGTTATTTTTAAAATTTTGGGTTCTATATTCTCTCCTTCCCTCTCCCCTCCCTTCCTTGAGAAGGCAAGCAATTTGATAAAGATTATACATGTACAGTCATGCAAAACATTTCCTTATTAGCCATGCTGCAAAAGAAAACACAGACAAAAAAAAGAATAATAAAGAAGGTAAAAAAAAATGCTAAAATCTGCATTCAGATTCCATCAGTTCTTTCTCTGGAGGTGGATAGCATTTTTCACAACCCTTCTTGAAGTAATGAGATAAAAAGCCATCTGATCAGAAATTAGGTTTAGATCAAGATCTCACACTATACACCACAATAAGCTAAAAATGGTTGCATAAAAGATCACATTAAATGAATGAGAAGATCAGGGAAGAAGATATCTTTTGTAACTACGAACAGGGGAAAGATTAATTACCAGACAAGAGACACAGAAGATCACAAAATATAAAGTGGACAATTCTGCTAACATAAAATTGAAAAGGTCTTACACACACAAAATCAATGCAGCTGAAATTAGAAGGGAAACAGTTAAATGAGGAAGAACCTCACATCTTCCCAGGAGGGACTATCTTATGCTAGAGAACAGTCTCAAAATGGACTTAAAGGAAGCCAGGGAAGTCAGCAGGGAGAGTTGAGGAAAGGAGAGCATTCCAAGCATGAAGGACAGCCAGAGAAAATGCCTACACCTGAGAGATGGAGGGTCTTGTTTGTCCAACAGCCAGTATGCCAGGGTCACTTGGCTGAAGAATATGTGGTGAGGATTAAGATGTAATCCTCCCATTTTCTCCAGGAGACCGTCCACACTATCATACCCTCTCTAATCTCCAACCTCTCCCTATTGACTGGCTTATTCCTTCCTCCTTACAAATGTGCCCTAGACTCCCCATCCTTATCACTCGACCCAACCATGTCTGCTAGCTATCAACTTATGTTTCAGTCCTCCTTTTATTTGCCAAATTCCCTGAAAAAGTTGGCTCTCCGTGGTACCTCCACTTTCTCGCTTCATTGTCTCTTCTAAAAATACTTCAGCCTTGCTGCTTACCTCAATCCTTACCCGAAACTACCAATAAACTTTTTATTTGCCAGATGTAATGGCTTCCTCTCAATTCTTACATATTTTGAGCTCTCTGCAGCATTTGACATTGTTGACTATATTCTCCTCTTTCAGTTTTCATGATATTACTCTCTCCTGGTTGTCTTCCTACCTGTACAACTACTTGTAAAACTTCTTTGCTCATTTATCATCCATGTCATTACTATTAACCGCAGGTGTAATACCAAGTCTGTATACTGTGTTCTCTTCTCTTTTCTTCCTTTACACTCTCACATGGTGACTTCATCAGATCGAATGGATTCAATATACCAACGCTACACTGATAACTCTTAGATCTATATATCCAGCTCTACTCTCCTATTGAATATGTCTAGATGGACATCATCTAGATGAGCACCAACTGCCTATTGAATATTTCTAGATGGACATCCTAAAAGTATCCTGTACCTGATAAAATTCAAATTCAAAATTCAGAATTCATCATCTTTCCCTCCAAACCACTGCTGAAGAGACTACAATCCTTCCAACTTCAGTGTCATGCTGGATTCTTACTCTCCCTCACCCCACACATCTAATCAGTTGGCAAATCTTGTCATTTCTATCTCTACCACATTGTTCCATTCACTTAGCTATCAACCTAATTCAGACCCTAGTTACCTCTCATCTGGATGACCACCGTGGTCTTGGTAGTCTTACTTCATGTCTTTTATCTTATAGAATTGCTTTTGCTACAGCATAGGTTTGACTAAGTCAAGCCTCTTACTCACTAAGCTCCAGCATCTATTATCTCTAGAACTAAACAAAAATTCATTTCAGTATCTTTATAACCTGGCCCTTTCCCATTTTTTACACATTACTCCCCTCCACCCACACTAGTCTTCCTCCCGTGTGGCTCAAATGACATTCTATTTCATCCCATGTCTAGATTTCACTCCTCTTGGAATCCCTGGTTTCCTTAAACCAGTTCAAGCACCATCTTTCAAGCACCACAACTTTCATGATTCTCCCAAGAAAAAATACCTTCCCAACCTAACTACCGCCTATCCTACTTTTCATTTTGTATATATTAAGTGTATCCATATCTACATACATATTGTCTCCCCATTAGAATGTAAATTCCTTGAGAGCAGAGATTTTTTAATCCAATTTTGTCTTTGTATACCACCTTTTCATTTAGCTACAATTTCCTTTTGTTATCTGGTTTCATTTATAGAATATCAAGAATATCAAGATTGATAATGATTCATTTTCTTTAGTTGTATGTACACCTGGTCCCTGGACAAGGATCTCACATTTAAAGTAGTGAGTAACTGTTTCTTAAATGGAAGTGTTAGTTATTCTTAAAAAAAAAATCCATGTTATTTTCCAGTGATTTCTCCTCCTTACCCTCCCAAAAGAACTCTACCTTGTGACAAAGAAACACACTTTAGGCCAAACAAATCAATATACTGCCCATATCTAACAACATAAACTGAATTCTGAGAGGCAAATATGCTTCAAAGTCAGTTCTCTGGAATCACTGCATTGAGCAGGGTTCCAAAGTCTTTCAATATCATTTTCTTTTACATCTCTGTGGTCACTGTGTAAATTGGTCTCCAAGTTCTGTTTACTTCCCCATGCATCAATTCATGCATGTTTTTGTAATCAAGGTTCAAGAAAAAAACTATACAAACATGGAGGAAGGAGAGAGGGCTGCAGTATGAACCTCATACTGCATACTGCAACTCATACTCAGTTCATATGAAACTGGATAAAGGAGGGTGAACACACACACACACACACACACACACACACACACACACAATTAGATTAAATTCAACAGGGAATCAGAAGAAGACATGGAACATGAAATGGGGATTAAGAGTATGAGCAGATTCCGGGAAGGATGAGTAATAAGCAAAGTCAATTCCATCTTTGGAGAGAATGTGAAGGGTATGTGGGATTAATAAATGGGAGTAACAAATATATGGAACATGGAGGGAAAGGTTTCTAAAGAACCTATGATTGGGGACTGGGTGAATGAAATAGAAGAAGAAAAGTGGAATAGAAGGATACTGCATAAAATATAGGTCACTAGTGTTGTGTATGTTCCTCTCTCAAAAATCTCTTCTTGATTATAAAGAGAGAAATGGGAGGCAAAGACAAAGAAAGATATAAAAAGATAAGATGGAGGGAAGTAAATAACAACTTTAACTATGGCCACGGAGGATAGCGAAATGGGTTAGAATATAGAACAGAAGAACATATGAGGTTTACAAGAAACACAACTGAAATAGAAACATTCAAACATAATCAAAAAAGGGGAATAGAGCAAAATCTATCATACTTCAGGTGAACTCAAAAAAGTAGGGGTAAGAATCATGATCTCAGACCAAACAAAAGTAAAACCAGACTTGCTTAAAAGAGATACATGGGGAAATGACATCATGTTTAATGGCACCAAAGATAATGTATTAATATAGGTACTTAATACATACACACTGAACAGCATAGCATCTAAATATTTAAAGAAAAAATTGATTTACAGAAAGAAAAAGACAGCAAAATGATAATTGTTGGAGATCTCAAGGTACTTTTCTCAGATCTAGGCAAATCTAACCAAAACATATAATTCTTCATCTTCTTTATGGTAGAATAATATCCAATTACATTTTTATACTCACAATTTATTCATTCATTTCCTGCCTGATGGATCCATTCTCTGTTTCCAGTACTTTGCTACCACAAAAAGTATCGCTACAAATATTTCCATACACACATGACCTTTCCCTCTGTGATTATCATAGATTTAGAGTTAGAAGAGAAGTTGCCAATTCTATTTTTTATCATTTCTTCGGTATTTTTAGTGCCTCTTTTACCAAGCTGTTAATTCTCTTTTCATTATTTTCTTGTATCACTTTCATTTTTTTCCCAAATTTTTCCTCTATCACTCTTATCTCTTTCTTTAACTCTTACAGGAACACTTCTTGGCTTGGATCCAAATACCATTTTTCTTTGAGGTTTTGGTTGTAGCTGTTTTTACACTGTTGTCTTTTGAGTTTATATCTTGTCATCCCTGCCACTGTAGTAGCTTTTCATGGTCAAGTTCTTTTTTTGTTATTTATTCATTTTTGAATTTCTTGAATTTCTATTTTTTGACTTTGAACTTTATGTTAAAGTTGGGCTTTGCTTACCCTGGGGGTGGGGTGGCACTGTCCCAACCTTTAGGCTTTTTTGTGTTGCTGTTTTCAGAGCTAGTTCTGGGGGTCTGCAAGTTTTCAGTGCTTCCAAGGTATTGTGATCCAGGAAGAGCTGTGATCACGGCTCTCCTGGTTGGTGTTCTAGTCCTTACCCAGGAAGGGCCCCAGGTCCACTGCAGTAAAGGGCCCTTGGTCCCCCGAAGCCACAAGTGCTAGCATTCCTCTCTGCCTTGGAACTATGACAAGGGTCCCTTGCTCCCTTGAGACCAAATGCAAGTGCTTCTCTCTGCCTGTGAACTCTAACTCATATTACATATGGGCAACACAGCTGCCAATCAGCACCAGGTGCATTCAGTGCCAGAAAATGGTCCATTGTAATTTTCTGCTGACCAGATGTCCAATCCCCTTACCATCTCTGGGTTGGGAGTTCCTGAAGTTACTGCAGCTATAGTGGCTGCCTCCAACACTCACAGCTGGTGTTGTTGCCACCAAGTGCACTCCCAGATGGCCCCAATTCTAATATCACAGACCTCTCCTGCTGACCTCCTAAGTTATATTAGTACTGAAAAAATGTGCCACTCTGAGAACTATGGAGTTTGAATGCAGATTGAAGCATACTATTTGCTATTTTTTTTCTTCCGTTATGTTTTGTTTCCTCTTTTTGGTCATTCCTCCTATTGGTTCTAATTCTTCCTTACAACATCACTAATGTGAAAATATGTTTAATAGGAATGTATATGTATAGCCTATATTAGATCGCGCACTGTCTTGGGGAGGGAGGTGGGGAAGGAGAGGGAGAAAAATTTAAAATGCAAAAGCTTATGGAAGTGACTGTTGATAAATCAAATAAATTAATAAAAAAAAATCTGCCAAAAAAAAAAGTCTCACTCTGACTTTTTGTGGGCTCTGCCACTCTAAAATTTGATTTAAGGTGCTTTTTAAAAGGTGTTTTGTTAAAAGTCTAACAAACAGAAAGTGGTAGGGATAGAATTTGTTTGTTTGTTTGTTTTTAAGGCAATTGGGGTTAAGTGACTTGCCCAGGGTCACATAGCTGGTTTTAAGTGTTTGGTCTGAGGCTGGATTTGAACTCAGGTCCTCCTGACTTCAGGGCCAGTGCTCCATCCACTGCGTCACCTAGCTGCCCCCCTGGGGACAGAATCTGAATGAAGGTCTTTTGACTCCAATGCCAGAATACTTTCTACTGTAACACTTTACCTCTAAAATTTCTGAGTTTTACCATTTTAGAAAACAGATCTTACTTCCTAAATGGGCTTTCCCTTCTAAATCTGATCATTCCTATAGCTTTTATCAAATATAATTCAAACTCCCTTCAAAAACAGGTAAGTGTTATTGTAAAAAGGAGTTTTTTCAGAAAAAACAACATGGACTCTATCTATGAGATGGTGTGACTTCAGCTTTCCACTTACTGCTTTTGAGAACTCACATCTTACCACTCAGGTCCAACCAACACACTGATCAATAGAAAGAGAGCCCATGCTAAGATTTATTTCTTGCCTTGTAGAGTACTATAACAATTTAAGAGACAATGGGAAGCCTCTCTAGCAATCCCAAGAGGGCCTAGCTTGTTCAAGGAAAAGAAAATAAAGGTACATTCCATAATAATTTTACAAATCAACATTACTCTAAGAAAGCTGGTAAGGAGATGGCAAGATTTGCCACTTGGTTTTATGCTGTAATGTTGTGATCAAAATTAATTACTGAGGAGGTGAATTCTGCATAGTAAAAACTAGAGCCTTACTGTTCCTATAGTTTTCCCTCTTCTTAATGGGAAAACTTTATACCCACTTGCAAATATATGGACATGACCACAGAAACAAACCACTGTGGCCATCATCTTACCATATTTGTAAAAACTTTGTATCTCTTATCTTATTTGATCATCACAACACTGAAGTAAAGTAAGCAGTACATGAACTATTATTCCTATTTTACCCAAAGGGTTAATCATTATTATTCTTTTCAAAAACTCCCAGGTTTCCTACAGCCCAATGGTTAAAGTTTAAATTAATCTGTCCAGTACCCAAGGCTCTTCACCAACTTGATGCCACCCTCACCTTTCTAACCTTCTGTCTTTCATGCACTGCAAGCCCTAATTCAGGGGTTCTTAACTAAAAGTCCATGAACTTTAAAAAAAATTTTTTTTAATTTTAAAATTAAAATTGTTAATTTTCTTAATAAATATTTCAATACAGGGTGTCCCAAAAATCTTAGTGCTATTTCAAGTTTTGGGTTTTTTTTAGTAGCTTAGGGCTGTATTAGGACTTCTGAGACATCCTGTATAACATTTGTTTTTTAATTCTATGTTTTGGATTTTGTGCATTTAAAAACATAATTCTGGGAATGGGTACAGAGTCTTTACTAGATGGAAAAACATGTCCATGACATAAAAAAGGTGAAGAACCTCTGGACTAGATGACTCTAAGGTTCCTTCCAGCTCTCACATTTCATGTTACTACAACAACAGCAGAAAATGAGAATAGATGATAAATGAAAGTCATGGTTTTTCTGTTGTCAACACACATAAAAATATTTTATCCAAAGTCAAAGATTAAGGAGCCATCATAGAATGGCTGACAATCAGCTGTTCTCTATCTCAAACAAGGATCAAATGGGGAGAGATATTTAAACGGCAAATGAGAAATTCAGGCAAATTACAAGGAAGAACTTTCAGAAATGAATGGCTACTGACATTGGAAAACGTTCCTGGCAAGGTAATAAAATCTCCTGTGAAGGTCATTTTAAAAGATGGCACAGTTTTTCATTCATTTGTCTAATATAGCTTTAAATAAGGGGTCAACAAATGGGGAAGATAAATGACCTCTCAAGTTCCTTTTAGTCCTTCTAATCCATTTCTTAGAAGAGCAAAGCAAGCAAACTTGTCTTACCTTGCTGCGTCTTCTTCTAGAAGGAGTTTTACAAACTGTCTAGGAACATGTAAGGAGAGGACACTTTCAGCCATCTGCTCCAAGATCCTTAGGTGATTCCCTTCAGTTGTAGGGAAACGGTACATTCTACAGATGGCACCACCAAACACTGAAATGCAAAGGAACATGGCACTTGAGTTAAGAGGATGAAAGGCAGTCACTCTAATTTTCCTTCCTTCTATCTCAGCCATACTCAGCATTGGTTCCTCTAACTACACACACACACACACACACACACACACACACACACACACACACACA